TGAACGAAAATGACTTCAAGTTTTCTAAATCCAAAAAACTTTATTCATTTTTGTCGTAAATATAAACCTCACAAGGATCCAGATTTATTATCAGATGATACTTCTATCAAGGTAGTAGATGGGGCCAAATTTCTGAGCCTCATTATAGACTTTCATCTCACATTCTTACCACACATCAAATATCTAAAGGCAAAGTGCCTGAAGGCTCTCGACTTGTTAAAAGTTGTTGGGTTTTTTAAATTCCGAGTGGGGAGGGGATGAGACAACCCCCCCCCCCCCCCCCTCACTACAGACTGTTACTGCACTCAGCAACCTAGATAAGAAGTACATCCAGTCCTCCGACCATCTTACCTTCACTCTGTGTTCATTAGTCATTCACTGGCTTCCAATCATCTTAATCAGCTCTCTGTGTCCATCAATCAATTTACTGTATAAACTTTGATGTTAATAAGTATATGTACCCATGTTGTTTAGCACTATCCATCACTGGCTTGATAAAGGTGTTAGGATCTACACCGAAACGTCGCACTAATTGTAATAAAGAAGTTGTTCATCCTTAGAACTCGTCTTACTTTTTCAATGCAATACATCGCTAAATTGCATTCCAGTCAGTCAAACCCAGCATACAACTGTGTTTTCAACCTTTTGTTCAAAATCATGTTTCGAAATTTGTCAAACCTGGTTCCACCATTTGGAATCAGAATTTAACCACCTCATTGCAGCTCAAATAAATCTTGATATCATATCACCTTACCGAGTTCTGTCTTCTCCTCCCTGGCAGATGGTAAAAGCGTCTTGTCATATCACCCTATAATTCTCGAATTTTAGACCTATACAATGAGCTTTCAATTGGCCAATGTGACATCGACTTTTGCTTGATGGCAAGTCATGTAGGCATAACAGGTAACTCCAAAGCCGACGCTGCAGCTAAAGCAGTTCTTGACAAATCGTTATCTCATTCCATATATTATATATTGGCCGGTTTCTGTGCACAACTACCAGTAGCTAAAGTGATGGCGTAAATCTTGATGGGGTATCGTGCAGTAAGTGAGGCACCGTAAGTCCCCGCCCGTGATCCCCAGCGAGGTGGCCTAGCTTTGGCTGCCGGTGGTTTATAGTCCGTGTTTTAAACAGTTGTAAATAAATTTTGGCTCACTCACCGTAACGGTACAACCTTCTTTCCAGTAGTTCGACTACAGTAAGTATGGTAAGGTAGAGTGATGCGACTTCACTCGGTTAATGGTGCTGTTGTTGCTTTAGGTGTTTAAGCGGTCGCCTACTGCCGTAACAATTTCGGCTGACCTGTCCCTCTGTGGGACTCGTGTTTGTGAGTAGGGTACACGTATCTATTGTGAGTTTTAGTATTGATAAAATGTATATTTTTTCGTGAATTTATTCGATTTCATCTTTGGCTGCTCCGTTTATATACGTTCGAGAAGCTGTCCATCTCTCAGAAATTGAGTTAGTTTGGCCTTCGCTATTGCATCTCTTGTAGGCTATTGGCTTCAGGAGATCTGCGACAGATAGCGGATATAACTGCAATTGTTATAACCGAGCCCTGGCTGGGGCATGGTCTTGACATCCCAGTATCAAGTGAGCAAAGGATTCAGGTTGATTGCAAGATGCATACCCTGTCATGGTGCCTTTTGTCAGTTAATTCCATCCCTGACCTAACATATGGACAGGTCGAAACACAATAATATTGGAGACAAAAACAATAATTTAATCAAAACTTGAAATAAAGCCGAACAGTTTAAAGTATTCTGCTCAGGTGAGGTGAAATGGGGTTTAACGTCGCGTCCAAGATTATTGCACTTATATAGCGACGTGCATGTATGTGTGTGTGTGTGTGTGTGGCTTCTTGTACTAGTCCGGACTGATGCCGATTTATGGTGCTAGCCCACTGAGATACCATGCAGCAGTTTAACATGAATACCCCACTCAGACACAGTATACTGACTCCGGGCCGACCAGTCCTTGTTTTAGCCCCTTAATGCCGAGCGCCAGACAGGGTAACAACAAGTACCATCTTTTAGCGTCTTTTGGTATGACGCGGTCGGGGATCGAACCCCGGATTCCACCCTCCGGGCGGACGTTCTATCACTAGACCACGGAGGCGGTCTTCCTGCTCAGAGGTAGCTTAGCAGCAAATAAGGGGAAGCACTCTTTGTCCTGAAACACCCATTATTAACAAGCTTCCCCTTTTCCTGAGTAGTCGCTCGTATGTCTTTCATTTAATTTAGTGTTAAAGCATTAAAACAGAACAGAAGTTATAAAAAGGATAAAAATGAAATTTTATCAATATACGGAAATGGAAATCATATCAATACAAAAACAGAAATTATGTGAATACCAAACTCACAATAGATAGGTGTACCCTACTCACACACATGAGTCCCAAAGAGGGACAGGTCAGCCGAAATGCTTAAACACTTAATGCAACAACAACACAGAAGTTATTCAAGGAAACGACATGGGTTCTTTGAACACCTCGTCTACATTATTATACACATACTCGGTCTTGTCTACTGTGTTTCTGAAGGGCGAGTAAGTATGGTTTAACGCCGCTTTTAGCAATATTCCAGCAATATCACGGCGGGGGACACCACAAACGGGCTCCACACATTGTACACATGTCGGGAATCGAACCCGGGTCTTCGGCGTGACGAGCGAACGCTTCAACCACTAGGCTACCCGACCGCCCCGTTTCTGAAGGGGTCCGTGTATTAAAAAAACTGTTATCTATAATCTGTACACAGTGAAACCTCGTTATTCAGGACAATTACTCTTGTGAACACAATATGTAACAGGCGTGGAATTACTTTGTTTTGCTTGCTGCTTCATTGTCGTCAATATTCCAGCAATGTGACGGCGACCACTAAGTAAACGTGTCCTGAACAGACAAACCAGTGATTGATATTGTGAGCAACATCCCTCGTCGGGGTACGATGACACGCAATCAGCCTGATCACCAGTTACCAATGACTCGATAATCCGGAAATGCGTCTATCCGGAAGACTTCGCAGGGACGGTGTCCGGACTTCACTGTCCGGATAAACGGGGTTTCACGGTACCGTTTAATTGTCAGAAGATAAATCAACTTAAGCATCGTCGCTTGAGGCGACAACATATATTAGTGGAACCCGGTATAATTATAAATGGCCAAAAAACTGACGGGGATTGTTTAGGACTGTTTTTGGTGTTGTGTCGAACTGTGAAGGGTAATATAACTATTGTTCTCGGCTGTATAGAATATTGTGTTCAGCTATGATAAATATTGTGTTTAACTATGTTGGAGATTATTTCTAGACTGTGTTGAGTATTGTGTTGAACTGTGTTGGGTTTTGTGTTCAACAATAATGGATACTGTTCTCGAATGTGGTGGTACTGTGTTTAACTATGAAGGGTATTGTTCTCGACTGCGTTGGGTATTGTGTACAGTTGTGTTGGGTATTGTGTTCAACTATGTTGTTTGGTTTGTTGTTTAACGCCGCACTCAGCAATATTCCAGCTATATGACGGCGGTCTGTAAATAATCGGAGTCTGGACAAGACCATCCAGTGATAAATATCATGAGCATCGATCCACGCAATTGGGATCGATGACATGCATCAGCGAGCCTGACCACCCGATCCCGTTAGTCGCCTCATACGACAAGCATAGTCACCTTCACGGCGTTCAACTATGTTCGGGGTTGTTCTTGGTTATGTTGGGTATTGTTTTCGACAGCGCTGGGTATTGTGTTCAACTATATTGGGTATTGATCTCAACTATGATGGGTATTGTGTTCAACTATATTGGGTATTGATCTCAACTTTGTTGGGTATTGTGATCTACTGTGTTCAACTATTGTCTGTGTATTTCAGTATCGTAGTGTTCGTTTTAAGTAATATTCCATTGATATTCATATTGATTTTGTAAGCAACGCTAGACACCGTTAGGGTACGTTAACACGCGATCAACCAAGTTACCGAGCATGACCACCAGATCTATTCGGTCGCCTCTTAAGACAAGCACAGGTTACAGGGAACCTGTCCTAACCTGAAATCTTCACGGGACAGTGTCGGAGTGAATTGAAGTTTTGTTTGTTTGTTGTTTAACGCCACACTCAGCAATATTCCAGCCATGGCGGCGGGAATGACGGTAGCTCTGTTTGTACCTCAGTAATACTGGACAAAGTCAGGCCAAATCAAACTAGGAATTCCCAAGGGTTTTGAATATAATAAAACGACGACTGATAGTATGTATTTAGACATCTGTGTGTTATACATCTCAACATTAATGGTGGACAGCCATGATGGATATGACACTTCGTAATAAACTTATTGCAATCATCACATACATAGTTGCTTGACTGTCCATTGTCGACAGGATTCATTTAGTCTCAATGTACTATTACTAATGCATACTTTGTCCTATTCACTATATGGCTGCAAAATCGCCGATGGGAGAATACATTTAACTCACTCACTCACATATTGTATTGACCAACATTCGAAACCACATCCTTCTTCATGACAAATGTCTGATGCAAAAAGACATCACTCCTCTTGCTCATCATCTACCCCCATTTGACCGCCTCCGTGGTCCAGTGGTAGAGCGTCCACCAGGAGAGCAGAAGGTCCGGGGTTCGATCCCCGGCCGCGTCATACCAAAAGACGTTAAAAGATGGTTCTTTTTGTTACCCTGTCTGGCGCTCGGCATTAAGGGGCAAAAACTAGGACTAGTCGGCACGGAGTCAGAATATTGAGTCTGAGTGGGGTATTCATGTTAAACTGCGGCATGGTATCTCAGTGTGCTAACACTATAAATCGGCATCAGTCCGGACTAGTACAAGCAGGCACACACGTACATGCACGTCGCTATGTAAGTGCAATACATTCTTGGAAGCGACGTTAAATTCATCTAATTGATGAAAGAGCGATCATAAATGATGCAAGATATAATATTGGCGCATTTGTAATATCAACCATCCCTATGTCCGATGCATCAGAAAAAAATAAATCTTACATTAATGTTTATTCAACCGTACAAAAGACTGCAAATAATGGAAATACTTAAGTACAACTTGTGACGTATTTACTGACATCTTCAGATAGGTCAGTACGTGGAACACTGTCGGTTAGTGAAACTAATATCAGCGGAACCGGAACTGCCAATGACACACGTGACCCGGATGTAGGTTTGGTTTTCCAGGAAGACAAATACCACTTTTTCTCGTTGTGCCCCTCTGACAGTGACAACGACGTCGTCCGAGACATCTATCTGCACGACACGTTTTGGGGAGATGGGTACGACCTTGCCCTCCTCGCCGTACAGGAGAACCTGTTTTGAGCTGGAATGACACATATATGAGAGAATTATCCTCGATTATCCAGGGTTTGTTTGTTTTGTTTGTTTGTTGTTTAACGCCGCACTCAGCAATCTTACAGCTATATGAGGGGCGGTCGGGTAGCCTAGTGGTCAAAGCGTTCGCTAGTCACGCCGAAGACCCGGGTTCGATTCCCGACATGGGTACAATGTGTGAAGCCATATTTCTAGTGTGCCCCGCCGTGATATTGCTGGAATATTGCTAAAAGCGGCGTAAAACCATACTCACTCACTCACTCACTACAGCTATATGACGGCGGTCTGGAAATAATCGAGTCTGGACACGACAATCCAGTGATTGACATCATGAGCATCGATCCTTACAATTGGGATACGATAACATGCATCAATCAAATCAGCGAGCCTGACCCCCCGATCCCCTTAGTCGCCTCATGCAGAGAATTAAATCTCCTTTCTTTTATGACAAATACTCTGGAACAATTTGTAACCATTCCTTTGTTTTTTAGTACAATTCGAAAGACACACCGCTAAAAATATACGTCACATGACGTTGTTCGTTATTAATTGAAATGATCGGCTACAAAACCAGTTCTCGACTCGACGTCTGTTGTGCCATCTAAAATACAACCGGAACATCTTATATATGACACATATCGGTTATGCTTGGGATTATTACTGGGCCCCGAGAAAAGAGCGTCAGAAGTAAAATATTTTGGGGTAAGAAAACTTCCATCCATCTTCTTCCCGCTCATTCACACTGACACTTGGCTTCGTCTGTGTACTCACAACCAGTGGATGCAGCTCGTGCTAATACGTACATGTACATCTAAATAATCTACATAATTTTCATTTACGAAATGTTGTTCATACATTAATGTTTTGTTCCATGAAGTGCACGAGTCTGTTCATAAGTTAGATAACCTCGGCTGTTGTGCGATTTAAAACCAGTATCATTGGGATGAATTCTCGAGGCTATCGCCCTTGGGTTTATACCTCTGCTGCGGGTTATAAACCTCATTAAAACCATGGGACACGTTTACCATTCACATATCAAGGCGGCGTGCTGGCACACATTTCATATTCAGCTGAGACTCCGTGCCTTTCACTCGACAAGCAGGGCACACTGTGGACCAATTATTTCTCGGAAAAGTGAGTGAATAAGTGGTTTAGGCCCTCTTTGAACAGTAACCCGGCAATCTTTCCAAATAATTTGGACAATAATTTGTTAATAATGAACGAAATAATAAATCGTAAATATAACTAAGTATGCGTTGTGGTATTTTAAGACTATGGGTGACTGGTACCGACTTACGCCAGAGAAAACACGGGGCTTGTGTAGTAGAGGCACGGCCCGCTGCGACTACACCCCCCGCTGATTGTAAGCGGTTTCGATGGAGAAAAGGCCGTCACGGATGTCTTCTGATTAACTGAACGATGAAATACTAGTGATGGATCAAACTGAAATACAAAATATACATCATAAGTACGCCATGTACCTGTGTTGGTAATACAACATATTTCAATGGCAAGGGTCGTTTGCCATTCAGTGATACCCGTATTCATCAGCAGCGCTCGATATTGAACTATAATAACGGGAAAAAGTAACTAAAAAAGTGCAAACAAGTAAAATTATTGTGAAATTTAATCATGTATATTTATGTATGAAGACATCACCGCGATTTTAGGTCGTAATTCACATTTTGCACGTGCAAGTGCACGTTAATGCACGGCACACAATTTGGATGTTTACGTGTTTGTTAGAAGCATGATGCTCGCATATGATACTTTTGCCCGATTTTGTTAATTGAGTTGTTACACCAACTCTCTTTGAGGGCGTGCCACTATGTCTCCTGTTGCCAGGTATGGGCTTCGTCAATGAATTTGTTATGATAAAACATGGATCAGACGAATGACCAAATATCATGTTATTATTTTCAATAACATAACATTGACACCACTTTACACGAAGCACAGTTTCCGCTAGTATATAAGGCTTGTTGACAGACGTCATACACACCCAATTGGCAAAGCTACCGCTGCGCTACGACAGTCATGTGTTTATAATAAACCATGAGAGTTACAATAACCTTCAACAACAGAACTGTTGGTAGAACGGTCTCTGGTTGCAATCGATAGAACCTTTTAATCGAGAATAGAAAGTTCCGGAAACTCACGAAATCAAACCCGGCAGCACTCGGTGTTAGGGAGAAGTCTGCTTCCATAGCAGAGGCCAGGATAATTCCGAAGACGTATTCTCCGATTCTGGAGTACGTTGTATAGACTTCCCCATCCGGACCAGAACCATCTTGGAATGCTTGCTGAAAAAAAGGTATTCTCATTTTATTCAACATATTACGGCAAAAGGTAGAGTGTAAGCAGGTAGAAGCAATTGAAAGACCAAAAAAGGCCTTTGTGCAACACATGTGCAAGCGGATATCGTATTAATTGTTGCAAGGAATGCCAAGACATGAGTGTAAATCGTGTATACCAACACGCTTATAACGAACTACGGATATGACGAACTAAATTGTGTGGTCCCTTTGAGTTCGTTATACGTAGTTTACTGTATTAATTAAAGCGCACTAAAATCATGCGAGCTAGTGACGATTGCTAATTGATATTTCAATAAACTTCGTGAGGCATGGACTTGGAGTTTAGCTAGAGATAGAGCATTTTTTCTTCGCTTTTTTCTCTGAAAAGAGAAGATCCACATTTTTAAAGATCTTTCAGTTACCTACTTATTTATGACCTAATGACCAAACAAATATTTTGAATGATTTACATTTTCTGAAAAAAATCTTTATTTGGCAAAAACACCTCCGCACCAATTTTATTAAACATTACAATTTATCATAATCTCTTTAGACCAATCATGAGATATAGAAAGATGGTTTTAAGTAAAATGATGCATCAAATAAGTTGTTGCATTATATTAAGAGTATTATGTTTCGAGCAGATGAAAATATGAGAAGCACTCCACCTGCCACATTTGACGGTCAATGGCCATTGCAGGCTTTGACGGCTGCAGAATCAAACCATCGCTGTTGCAGCAACTGGAATAGAGTTAGTGAGTGAACGACGCAGTCACCAACATCCCTGGTAAACCACGGCGACCTGTGCTTCATCGAGTCTGGTAAACCAGTGACTGAAATCATAAGCGACGGTCCTCACCTTGGAGTGAGTGAGTGAGTATGGTTTAACGCCGCTTTAAGCAATATTCCAGCAATATCACGACGGGGGACACTGGAAATGGTCTTCACACATTGTACCCATGTTGTAACCACTTGGCTACCCCACCGCCCCAACACCATCGAGGAGTCGCAATAGGCCAAGTAACCGAACTTGACCACCCATTGTAGTCGAGTTTTTTGTATGGCTTCTTGATGAACATCAAGCTCCAAAATCACATCAACGTTAATTATTATATACCCCCTGCGTACCATCAACTGATCAGAGACCCCAATCAGTCACAATCATTTTGTTTATACCACTAGCTTCACCTGCTAAGGGGGCGGTCGGGTAGCCTAGTGGTTAAATCGTTCGCTCGTCACGCCGAAGACCCGGGTTCGATTCCCGGCATGGGTACAATGTGTGAAGCCTATTTCTGGTGTCCCCCGCCGTGATGTTGCTGGAATATTGCTAAAAGCGGCGTAAAACCATACTCACTCACCTGCTGAGACGTTTACCTCATATCACCACATACAGGTTTTTCCACTTCAATGTACTACATCCCAATCTACTCAACTGTATAAATACTGCCTCAAACCTGTATTATATACTTGTCAACCATATCTGTACATCACTTGCTTGATAACGGTGTTAGAACCTTCACCGGAACGTCGCTCCTAAGTGTAATAAAGTTGTCCAAACATACATCTCGTACTTCCTCATCTTAATGAGGTAGGAGGTATGCATCATGTGTTTCCCAAACTGTGGGCTTTATTTTGCAATTCGTGTTCGAAAATTCCAACTTGCTTCAAATGTTCAAATATACATATCAAGTTCTTCAACACTGTAAACACATACGTTATCCGTAATGTTTCGTTGAACAGTCGATCTACGTGTAACCGACCATAGCCAGACATGGCGGCACTCTGGAATGCAATGACGTCATCAGTTGTTCCAAACGCAAACTCACGTGACTTACCTTGGTATTATAATGCAGAGAAACTTTAAATAAAAAGGTTAACTTGTTTTTTCTATCAAATTTAGTCCTAAGAACAGAAACGAGCGATTTTATCATTTGCACAGTTTCTTTTTGTGCCTAGTAATATACATCAGTAGCCACTAAAAGAAATTGTGGAGATGATCAAATCATATGTCTTGTTTCCTTTGGGTCCTGGAATACATGGATGATACGTGAAGCAGTTTGTACAAAATTAATAATGTCTTTGTTGGAATTATCAAAAGAAACAGCGATCAAAAGTTGCATTACCAGAACGTAATAATACAGACAGGTAACACGTCATGAGAACCACGGGATTTATACATGTGCATGTTGTGGCCCTTACAAGTGGGGAGTTCTCCGTTGCGAAAGTGTTTGCTGTAAGCAGCTGTTCGACTGCGAGGTCATTTCACGACCATCTGAAGCACCGTCTCTAGAGTATGCTTTCCGTACAAGCAGCCTGCAGAGAACAGTAACGGCTACGTCATTGGTGGTAAAGGAAGGTACAACAGCATCCTCTACACAGCAGCAGTTTCAGGACTGCGAAGGATATCAGACCAGAGGGCCTGTCAGAGGTGGTGTTTTGACGCAACAACGTTGTCAACTGTCACTTCAGTGGTGCCAAGCACGCAGGGTATGACATAACCAGCGATAAAGGTGGCAGGTTTAGCGGTGGGCGGCAGTCTCCCACACTGACAGAACGAACCAGATGCAATAATCTTTTACATCTCAACAGCCCCATGCCAGCCTTCAACAGTTCCCATCTTGCAATGATTTTACGTTATTAATTATTTTCATCATAAGTTTAGTAGGATTTATCAGTTATGCTGAGTCAGCTAGAAAGGAATGTTTGCGCCTAGACATTAACACTGCCCCACACTATGTAGCAAGACGAACATATTTATTAAGCGTTTCTTTCTCTTGACATTTAAGCAGATGAATATCTTCACTTGTACGCAGCAGACGTTATTCAAAATGAACATATCGTCTTGAATTTCGACAAAATCAGTAACATTCAACACATCGTTTTTAGTTTCAACAAAATCAGTAAAGATGCTATCGTGTTACTGGGCATCTTCCCGGAGCAAGGGAGTTAACTGACTATAAAAGTCCAGTTGCCATCCTTGCAGAACTGGGCTGGAACTTCATGGCTCGATTGTAGTGCCACCAATGAGTTATGAGTTAAGTCCATTGTATGTCCCTTCTAATGACCAATCAGAGCACACCTCTCATATCACATGCATTTGCTTCAAACAAAATGGTGGCGTCCAGTCAAGACGCAGATCGCAAAGTGCATCAAAGCACTTGAAAGATGAAAATATTTGGAAAATACCTGCCGACGACCAGTAGACGGAACACATGATTTGCAAATCCTGCGATCGACCGAAATCTCCGCGGCAGTCGCCATGTTGTTTAAGAACCGGCTGTCGATTTTGTTACGCGATTTTTGATTGGACTATGCATAGATTCGTAAGGCTATCCAAAAATAACTCCAGCCCAGTCGCAAGGGTGGAAGCTGGGCATTTATAGTCAGTTAACTCCCTTGCCTTTGGGCAGATGACAACTGGATGTCGGGTCAAGACTCGATTGTACACAGGCCGCCGTCGTGTGGCAGGAGTACTGCTGTACGGCGTCAGGCACTATCGTCTTTATGCAAACTGAGTGGCGGGTTCTACCTGTAGAGCGGGACATGCTTGCCTGTTCGCTAACACCTGGTGTCATCACTGATTTTCAATGATCCATTCATATAATTTTCACCTCTAGGTTTGTCTTTTACACCCAGTGGAGTCTGTTTCGGGAGAAATTCGAGGCTGATTGTTCTCACAAACTTTGCGTTTACAAATATCTGCTTCAGCACACACATCCTTGATATTTACTTACGTAATGAGGAGGGTGACGTTTGTACCGTTGACGATGTCCCCTGGGGCGACGGGTCCAGTGCTGAGGGTGGAGACGATCACCTGCAGTTCGCTGTGGGGTTCAATCAGATCTGTGACAGTAAACCATAACTGTAACAAACCCTACTTTTACAATGTGCGAACACAATGGCCCGGAATGCATGGTTTCCGAATTAACGAATGTCCGTATTAGTGAATGAAGGGTACGGAGTAACATTCCTTTGTAAAATATATGTTTGTTGGTGTTCCGAACACAATGGCCCGGAATGCATGGTGTCCGGATTAACGAATGTCCGTATTAGTAAATCAAGGGTAAGGCGTTACATTCCTTTGTATAATATGTGTTTGTGGGTGTTCCGAACACAAGGGCACGGAATGCATAGTGTCCTGACTAACGAGGTTGCAGTGTATACCCATCTCTCAATCAGTTACCCGGATATTTCGGGTTCCCAGGCTGACGTTCCGTCGACCAGAAGGTGTCTTTGAATGGTGCTATACCCATAGCGTCGGCAAAAATGGAGGATATCCCGATTTTCCAGTTATCAGCCCCTGCCCTGTAGTCGCCGCTGACCCTGGCCTGAATGATGAAACAGGAATACGAGTGATAAACCAGAAAGTTTCTTGGGGCTGTGCTCAACTGGGGGTATGTGCTATAGCTATCGTCGTGTTTCATACTCCAGCTATTGACATGTGACGTATTTGCAGATTTGTGTGTCAGTCAGTTATTAAAGCTCCTAGCAACTGGACTCCTTCTATCTACCCCTAGAAACACTGAATTTGCAGAAAAAAACTTATTTTTTTTATTTTAAAAACCCGAAGTTATTGTTTATGAGCCAGTCGATGGTGTTAAGTGATCCATGACGTCTCTAATATGTGTTGTGAAACTTGATCTGATGGAACATACTCCATAGGGCGTATGAGGAAAGTTAGCGGTGAATATGACTTCATATTTTAAAATTATCTTGTATATCGCATGATTATCGTGTCTAAGGTTGGACATGCAGCTATGTACCGTCATGTCTGACCTACCTGTGTGACTACTGGGATCTCCAGACTCTGCATGGCGTGTCTGGGGTTGGACATGCAGTACTGTATGGTGATGTCTGACCTACCTGTGTGACTACTGGGATCTCCAGACTCTGCATGGCGTGTCTGGGGTTGGACATGAAGTACTGTACCGTCATGTCTGACCTACCTGTGTGACTACTGGGATCTCCAGACCCTGCATGGCGTGTCTGGGGTTGGACATGAAGTACTGTATGGTGATGTCTGACCTACCTGTGTGACTACTGGGATCTCCAGACCCTGCATGGCATGTCTGGGGTTGGACATGAAGTACTGTACCGTCATGTCTGACCTACCTGTGTGACTACGGGGATCCCCATACTCTGCATGGCGTGTCTGGGGTTGGACATGAAGTACTGTACCGTCATGTCTGACCTACCTGTGTGACTACTGGGATCTCCAGACCCTGCATGGCGTGTCTGGGGTTGGACATGAAGTACTGTACCGTCATGTCTGACCTACCTGTGTGACTACGGGGATCTCCAGACTCTGCATGGCGTGTCTGGGGTTGGACATGCAGTACTGTATGGTGACGTCATGTTTCCGTGCACCCTTTCCCATCTGCATCAGCCACGTCCGTCCAACACTGACGTCAGATAGGGTGATGTTCATCTCATTGAACTCCACGTTCAGCCAGTCCTTAATTTACAAACGTTCCCTGAAGCATCAACCTTTTAAACACTTCCATACACTAAAACCACTGCAAATGTAATAATCTAGTAACAACAACAATAACAATAATAATAATAATAATAAAAATAACAATAATAATAATATGACTGTCTCATTTACATGTACGCTACAAACCAATTTCCAAAGTCTATTGGGATAAAATTGAAAAACTTAAACTTTCCCATCACTTAAAACCTGAAATAATTGTTGAAGGGGAATGAAAACAATTCCACTATAAATAGGTCAACAATACAAGAATTGTGGGCAGAAATTGAATTTGTTTCAAAATTTACTTTTTTTATGAATAAATGAATAGCCTTTGGTTCCCATATTCAGTCAAATTGAAGGGAAGTCAGATTAATATCGACAAGGAAAGGGGAAACCTTGAGTTATGTGTTTTGAACATGCAACATTACAACAATAAGTCCACAAACAACAATAGACAATGTAACGCGCCACATCCATCCACGAATGCTCGTGGCGCTAAACGGGAACCTGATTGCAGTTTCTGATCAGGAGGATTCGTGTTTGACGTACCTGTTCGTAGAGGGTAAGTCCCCATTCTCTCGATGTCTCAAACAGATAGTCCCAAAAGTCCTAACAAATGAACACAACATAATATCATAGCCCTGTTGAAGTGACATGAGATATTAAAGATAACAATAATTCTACAACTAACTGGTGCGACAAAGAAGTTGTAAAAACAATATTAATCCTTATTTCGAAATTACCTGGTCAATTGGAATGGCTTTAGACGTTGCCTCTTCAACAATAAAATCAAATCGGCCACCGTTCTGTTTCGCATAGGTTGTCTTTGAAGACCTGTTGATGGACATTCAGTAATCATGATGACATCGAATCTGATACTGGACATGTTGTACCTCTGGTCATGAGACCTGGACATGGAGATTAGACGTGTCCACTGTCTATGCACATTCATCAAAATGCGTGCAATTTGCTTCTGTGGTGTAAAAACACAATAAGTCATCCTGTGTTCTATGAATTACATAAAACCTTTGTAGCATATTAACCTAATGATACCATCACGCAGAAGGTAAACAACCACACTACCGGTGCTGGTACAGAGAAAGTCCTTCTTGTCGTAATTCTTGTCTTTTGAATGGATATATTTTGACACTATTAAAGTTGGGTTTATACTCAAAAATGTTTTTTTGTTTTGTTGTTGTTCTTGTTAATATTTTGTTGTAGTTGTTTGTGGTGCTTATTTTGTTTTAGGGGTGTGTGTTTTTTTGTTTGTTTTTTTGAAAATTTATTTATTTATTTTTTAATTTTTTATTTATTTATTTTTTTTATTTTATTTTTTTATTTTTTTTTGGGGGGGGGGATTTATTTTGGGGTGATTTTTGTTTTTGTTTTTTTGGTATTGTTGATTTTTGTTTTTTGGGGGTGGTGGATGGGGTGCAACGGGGTTTAACTAATGCCAATCGGAAACGGGTTTAAGTAATCAAGACCCGTTTGTAATCGCAGTATTGTGCACATTCTATCATCTTGAGTCTTCGCAGTGCTTCAAACAAAACTCCATCTCAAACCATGGTTACGGTTTCACGATCATGTTTTGATGTCCTATATACGATTGTCCATCAACGATTGTCTTATGAAACCTATTTTCGTCTCATAATACTGACCATTAGCAATTAATGCCCTCGTGCCCTTGGGTGCAGTAAAAGAAAACAACCTCTCACAAACGTGTCAACACAAGATGAAAGAGTATGCATCCCATAACGGCTACTCACCAGTATCGATTATGAGCACCGGAAGGCCATCCCGTCTTGTCGTAGAGAGACCTTAAACACGAAGCATTGTATTATACAGCCATGCAAACAGTCACTGGACCGTCATCGTATTGATAACTGGATTGGTTTTGGTTTTGTTTTTTTGTTTGTTTGGTTTTTTGTTGTTGTTTTTTTGGGGGGGTGGTGGTGGTGGTGGTGGAGACACGGGTGGCGCAATCGTCTAAGGCGCCGCAATTGGGTCCGCAGAGTTACTTATCTTGGGCCACCAGACACCTATAATTGTGGGTTCGAATCCCGGTTCGCCCCGATTATGTTTTTAGGTTTGTCAGCACCATACCCGTGCTCGTAGGTTTCACCAAAGTGGTAAACGTCTGAGACCTGCATCACTTCGGGCTTTCCTCCCACATTAAACTGGCATGCCGAAATATAACTGCAATACTGTTAAAAGCGACATTAAACCTAATTCGGGCGGAGGGGTAGCCTAGTGGTTAAAGCATTCCCTCGTCACGCCGAAGACCCGAGTTCGATTCCCCACATGGGTACAATGTGTGAAGTCCATTTCTGGTGTCCCCCGTCGTGATGTTGCTGGAATATTGCTAAAAGCGGCGTAAAACCATACTTACTCACTAAACGCAGTTCAGTCACTTTTTTCAATTGTTTCAAGATGTTAACATGGTTTTAACAATAAAAACCATCAGTAGTATGTTAACTACTCAAATGGACATGAGAAATGTATTGTATTTGAATTAAATTAATAGCTTTAACGGAGCTTAAAGCTAATGTGACAGAATATCATGTACAGTGTTGGAAGGTATCTGGAGGTGAGGTTAGGTGAAATGGGGTTAATGTCGCGTCCAAGATTATTGTACTTATATATGGCTGCTTGTACTAGTCCGGACTGATGCCGATTTATAGTGCTAGCACACTGAGATACCATGCCGCAATTCAACATGAATACACCACTCAGACACAGTATACTGACTCCGAGCCGACCAGTCCTTGTTTTAGCCCCTTAATGCCGAGCGCCAGACAGGATAACAACAAATACCATCTTTTAACGTCTTTTGGTATGACGCGGCTGGGGATCGAACCCTGGACCTTCCGCTCTCCGGGCGGACGCTCTACCATTAGACCACGGAGGCGGTCGGAAGGTATCTGGAAGTAATAGGACCAACAATTGTCACCTAGTATTGTCACAGTGTGGGTATTTAGTGATATGGTCATCGTCATCATATATAAACATAATCAAAAACATATTTTTCTCCATACATTAACATAGATTAACGCTGATTTTACATATTAAAATTAAAATCAGCAGTTCTTCGCTTGAATGAAGTCGGTTGGCCTGAAAAGTGAAACAGAAGGCTTTCTGAAGGCTGCTGCTCAGGACCAATCAGTGTGTGATTTTTCATCAAAATGTACATATGAAATGTAGAATATGCAATGAATTTAATGAGACTATCCAACACAACGTCACAGGATGCCCAGCTTTGGCACAAACACAGTGTCGTAAGAGACAGTTATCATTTTATTACCGTCTTCGCCATGCTTGTGGTTTTGACACAGAGGTCCATCCAAGGTACGACCCGGAATATATAGCGGGCGTCATGGAAAATGATCAATACAAAATTCTTTGGAATAGGCCAGTATACAACATCAGACCTATCCAGGCCAACAAACCTGATCTTGTCATTTTAGATCGTTTATATCATTGAATTTTCTGTCCCTTTTGACACTAATGTGTTGACAAGATTCAGGAAAAACATGGCAAATATGCAGACCTTACTTTCGAAATGTCACGCATATGAAATGTAAATATGAAATGTAGATTATGTAATGAATTTAATGAGACTGTCCAACATATTGTCAGTGGATCCCCAGCTTTGGCACAAACACCATATCCTCGGTGCTTTATCCTTCACGCAAATGTCTGTTACTCAATCAACTTGTTCCAGATAACCAAGAAAGGTTTGGTGTGCACCTGCCGCCACTATTGTTCTAGCAATGAATACAACTGGCAGCACTCATTCTGGACAATAGATGGTTGCCAATAGAAAAGAGCCCATGAGACAGCAACCCGGTTCGAAAAGAAGAGACGATTGTTATAAATGTAACAATTAATTAGTTGTGTTGTTTTTCTAGGGACGTTTCGAGTCACCAAGTGAGAAAGATATTGTCCGTGTATGAAGACCGAACAACGCTTCTGCGCCCTAGAGACATTGAAATATAAAATCCAGTTGAAAGTATATGTACATAGCTATGGAATACTGTAAGGGACATTCTCGCGATCTCGCATTCTCGCGATCTCGCATTCTCGCGATCTCGACCTTTGGAAACGAGCTAAATATGCCCCAAACACGAGAATGCGAGATCGCGAGAATGTCCCTTATAGTAATCCATACACAGCAGACCGCCTCCGTGGTCTAATGGTAGAGCGTCCGCCCGTATAGCGGAAGGTCCGGGGCTCGATCCCCAGCCGCGTCATACCAAAAGACGTTAAAAGATGGTACTTGTTGTTACCCTGTCTGGTGCTCGGCATTAAGGGGCAAAAACAAGAACTGGTCGGCTTGGAGTCAGTACTGAGTGGGGTATTCATGTTAAACTGCGGCATGGTATCTCAGTGTGCTAACATTATAAATCGGCATCAGTCCGTACGAGTACAAGCAGCCACACACACACACACGTGCATGCATGTCGCTATAAAAGTGCAATAACCTCACCTCACCACACACAGCACTGACAGTGTGTGACAGAAGGCGGCCACCGAGACGACTGTCACATACTAACAGCTTTGTGTTACAGAAACAATCATTCTATCCAGTAAGAAAAGATAATATATTATTAATATATTAATATATTAGAGCATCGGCTCTAATTCCAAAGGGAGCGTTTAGAAGCGGAGCTAAGTGCTCTTGGGACATTCTGATTATCCAGACCGAACAAAGGGGGACCACAGTAAAGTGATTCAATAGTTAATCTACACAGGCTCTAAATGCAGCAGGGGCGGTGGGGTAGCCCAGTGGGTAAAGCGTTCGGTCGTCACGCCAAACACCCGGGTTCGACTCCCCACATGGGTACAATGTGTGAAGCCCATTTCTGGTGTCCCCCGACATGATTTATTGCTGGAATAGTGCTGAAAGCGGCGTAAAACCCATCTTCCCGAGGCAAGAGAGTTAACAGACTTTAAACGTCCAGTTTCTACCCTTGCCGAACTAGGCTGGAATTCCTGGGCTCGATCGCATCGCCACCAGTGGCTGTTACGAGCAAAGTCCCTTCTATGCCTCTCCTATGGAACAATCAAATTCCACCTCTCGTATCACTTGCATTTGCTTCAAACAAAACGGAGGCGCCCAAGTCAAGACGATCTCATCGATAATCAAGATCTATATTGTGATAAAACGAGTCTTACATCGCAAAGCGCATCAAATCACGTGAGCATCTTGATTAAAAACATGAAAAGATTTAGAAAATATCTGTTGACAACGAGTTAGCGGTGCACATGCTTTGCAAATCCTGCAGTCGACCGAAATCTGCATGACACTTTACGAACCGGATTTCGATTTCGTTGCGCGATTTTGATTGGACTATGCAAAGACTCGTTAGTCCATCCAAAATGTAACTCCATAATACCAGCCTAGTTCGGCAAGGGTGGAAACTGGACTTTTATAGTCAGTTAACTTACTTGCCTCGGGAAGATGTGTAAAACCATACTCACTCATTGACAGGTGCGGGAAGAAACTGACGTTCATAAGAAAATATGCCGGTTTTTCAAAATGATAAAAACAAACAAGCACATGTGACGAGGTATAAACTCACTATTGACCATCAGCAATATTCCAGCTATATGACGGTGGTCTCTAAATAATAGTGTCTGGACCAGACAGTCCAGTGACTGATATCATGAGCATCAATCGATACGATGATATGCATCAACCAAGTCAGCGAACCTGACCACCAGATCCCGTTAGTCGCCTTAGTCTTACGCCTTCCTTACGCTTGACTCACGCCTAGCTACGTCACGCTTAAGAAGACTTACTGAAATCCACTTGGAAAGAGATCGGCCATAGGAACCCATGTCAACGTGCCATCTTGTGGTCCTTTAGGATAGAAGTAGGAATCGAACTGGACGTATCTACAAAGGGAAAATACAATCTATGAATTTCAGAAAAGGGCGGAACATCGAGAACTAACGACAGCTCCCCCATGGTCCATGAGTGAGTGAGCGAATATTGCTTAATAGCGGATCAGCAATCTGGACCCCATGGTCCATGAGTGAGTGAGCGAATATTGCTTAATAGCGGATCAGCAATCTGGACCCCATGGTCCATGAGTGAGTGAGTGAATATTGCTTAATGCCGGATCAGTAATCTGGACCCCATGGTCCATGAGTGAGTGAGTGAATATTGCTTAATGCCGGATCAGCAATCTGGGCCCTAATGGTCCATGAGTGAGTGAGTGAATATTGCATAACGCCGCATCAGCAATCTAGACCCCATGGTCCACGAGTGAGCGAGTGAATATTGCATAACGCCGCATCAGCAATCTGGGCCCATGGTCCATGGGTGGGTGAGTGAGTGAGTGATTATTACTGAACGCCTCATCACCAGTCTGAACCCATGGTCCATGAGTGAGTGAGTGAGTATTGCTTAACGCCTCATCACCAATCTGAACACATGAGTAAGTCCATGAGTAAGTAGGAGATGGTTGCTTAACGCCGCATCAGCAATCTTGCAGCTATTCGCCGCGACCCCAGGGTCCATGTCCTGTCCGTAGTTAGACCAATGTGACTGGATAGAGATAACACAACCTTTAAATATTTAAAGAATATAAGTGTGGCGTCAGATTTGATAGAAAACGCGTATGGGAATTGTATGAAATCAGTGTGTGCATTCTCCTGTGGCTAACCTGTAGGGGATACTGGTTCTGTGGGCGTAGTCTCTGACGTCAAGAATGGTTTCTTCATAGTTTTTCCCTGGTTCTTCGTTATAATAGTAATACGCCCCTGGGACATCAATATATGTTTGAAATACATCACAAATCAGCGACCGGAAAGATCTGTTTCTAACAAGCCAAGCCTAACAATAAATACAAGAATTGCTTTTTACATTTACTTCTATTTGTCTGGTTGTTGTTTTTTTGTTTAACGCCGCACTCAGCAATCTTCCAGCTATATGACGGCGATCTGTAAATAATCGAGTTTGGACCAGACAATCCAGTGATTGACAACATGAGCATCGATCCACACAATTGGGATCGATGCCATGCATCAACCAAGTCAGCGAGCCTGACCACCCGATCCCGTTAGTCGCCTCTTATGACAAGCATAGTCTCCTCTTACGGCAACCATGGGTTGCTGAAGGCCTATCCTACCCCGGATTTTCACGGGTGACTTCTCTTTGTTTTTAAAACAACAGCGGTCACTATTAGTGTCCCAGTTGTCAGAGCCCCACAAATAGTTGTGCATAGTTGCGTCCCTTGGGCGTGCCAGAATCCTACGGTCGTGGTTCGAATCAGGGTTCGCCCCGATTATGTTTGTCTGCACCATGCCCGTGCTCGTGGGTTCCACCGAAGTGGTAAACGTCTAGGGCCTGCATCACTTCAGGCTTTCCTCCCACATTAAGCTGACACGCCGTGATATAACTGGAATAACGTTAAAAGTGGCGTTAACCCCAACTCACTCACTATTTCTCACCTCCATCTGTCCAGTATCCAACGTAGTTGAGAGTTAGATCGCTCTGTCTGTACGCGTTGTCTTTACCGTAATACTTCCTCATAAGCGAACCCCAGTCAGACATGGCCTTGCGAGAAGGAACAATTACATGTAGGAATTAATCATATGTAATAACGTTAATACCAGTACCCTTACAAAACAATATGAAATCAATATTTACAAAGAAAGTCTCAATAACGATTGTAGGTCTCTTGTTGTTCTTTGATTACGCATTTTCACCCCTGTCAGATATACCACACAGATATTAACTATTAATCATATAGGAATAGTTTAATATAATAATATTTCCCCATGGAATAGGCGAGAGGAAGACATCTAAGCTTCCCATCGTTGATAATTTAGTTTCCTAAGTTTATCATTAAAAGATGGGAAGTTCAATAGCTTAGCGTTGCTCGTGTTTAAGCTTTTTAACTCTTTTAATTCAAGATGAAGAGCTCGAAATTTCAGACTCTCCAGCTTAAAATCAACTTTGTTCAAAATTATTCCATATATATCTCTAACATTTTAAGATCATCCCTGCAATAAAGAGAGAGCATCTCAGACACGGCACAGTTTTCCGTCTCGACTATACTAGCCAAGAGCAGTGTCCATTAATGTCCATTAATGCAACAAACTTGTCTGTCTTTAACAAATTACAAAATAGAAATGTTTTCAGAAGTGGGGCCACGGTGAATTTTTTTTTGTCTAAGTATCTCCTACGTAGGACTTACTATCTCCTAGGTAGGACTTACTATCTCCTACGCAGGATTTAGTATGGCCTAGAATTACTATCTCCTACGTGGGACTTAGTATGGACTAGAATAACTATCTCCTACGTAGGAAATACTAAGTCCTACGTAGGAGATACTAAGTCCTACGTAGGAGATACTAAGTCTAACGTAGGAGATAGTAAGTCCTACGTTGGAGATAGTAATTCTAGGTCATACTAAGTACTACGTTGGAGATACTTAGACAAAAAATATTTGTCACCGTGGCCCTACCACGCTTCCGTATTTAACTGCATTCAGAACACAGCAGGGTAAAAGAAAAAAATATATATCGGATTATTTTTAAATAACATTGGAGATAAGGAACGCGTCCCGTCCAGCAGCAGTCATATGAACGGTTTCCCTCTATGTTGTTCCGTAGTGATATAACTGTTAAACTGGAAAAGATCACCGTTCAGCGAACTCACTCACTCCCTGCACGTACCGCGTTAATGCCATCGCTGCTGTAATACATAATTGTCTCGTACATGTAGCCAACCGGAAGCTGCTCAGCACCGCCAAATATGCCCCAACTGACTCGCTTCCGGTCGCCATCTTGAAACATGGAGGCTGCCATGAACTGACTGAAGGGAGCCGTGATGACGACGTTGTTATCTTTGTCAAAGAGAACCAGAGGTCCACTAACAAGCCCACTCTTCAACTTCGCCTTGTCTGACGTAAATCTGAAAATGAGATTCGATTAAATGTACTTCATAGCTATCAGGCAGTTACTTGTGCACGTAGGCTGCATATATCAAGTGGCATCTAGGTGTCGCTATCTCAGTTTGTGTTTTTTGTTTAACGCCGAAATGAACAATATTCTACCTAAATGACGGCGGTCTGTACATGATCGAGTCTGGAACAGACAATCCAGTGATTGACATCATGAGCATCGATCTACGCAATTGGGATACAATGACAAGTCAGCGAGCCTGATCGCCCGATCAGGTCAGTCGCCTCTTACGAGAAGTATCGGATGCTGAAGACCTGTTCTAACCCGGATCTTCCCCGGTCGTCAGTTTGTGAATGTGTTTGTATTCATTAAGTACGGAAGACTAAATACGCCAAAATGGCTTAACAACGGTCCGTGATTATTACCTCAATCATAATAAAATTGGAAGCTCGCAAGTTTTCAAATGAACGCACGGGATCCTGCTTGACAATCATTGTTCGGAAAGGATGAAATGTTACATTTTCTCTCCTTTTTAGAAGAGGGAATGATTTCTTACGCCGCAGCAATACTCCCGCTTTATCAGGATGGCCTACAGATGATCGAGTCGGGACCAGGCAAGCCAGCGACTAGAAACACGAGTAACGATCCACATTTTGGAAGGTTGCTGGTGGACTTGTGATGTGGCGGGATTTTAAAGATTTTACGTGCGCCCCAGTTCATACTGCGACTGTCAAAGCGTATTAAATAAGTTAATGAAAATTATATGTTGTTTGTTTGATGTTTTACGCCGCACTCAGCAATATTCCAGCTATATGACGGCGGACTGTAAAGAATCGAGTTTGGATCAGACAATCCAGTGATTGACATCATGAGCATCGTTCTGCGCAATCCGAATACGATAACATGCATCAACCAAGACGAGGAGCCTGACCACCCTATCCCGTGAATCGCCTCTTACGACGCTGACATAGTACGGTCATATAGTCGAGGAGACTCTGGATTCAAACCCACCACCAACACCACACTACACTGTAAAGACAATGTCTATCCCAGTATAATTAAAATCAGATTGTTAACTCCAAAACGACACCCCCTGCGTGAAGATCTCATCCCCAAAGAGTTCAGTCAAGGGAACTTTCAGACGAGCCAATCAGCGCTGAGGAAGTACGCATCTGATCTCTGTATCTCGAAAACGAACATAACAATGCTATTATATTGTTGTGAACATTAAATAAATCTCTGTCGTTTCTGAGCACTATACATGGAATCTACGTAAAGAAGGTTATAGTATCGATGGAATAATTTTGCCCTATATATTCTTATGTTAAAGGGAGACTCGGCTCCACTGTCTGTCATCCATTTCCAGTCAAGGAATGAAAGCTGTTGATCGAACCGCATGAGCGTGTGAAATAATGTGTCATCAGCACTAGCCAGCCGGGCAAGCTCGATCATTTTTAGATACCAGTGGCCAGTTTTTGTATCCTGCCAAGATGAGACAGCTGAAGGATATTGTTTTGAAAAAAATGTCTTATTTTTCAAGATCATATTTTCTATTCGAGACGCGGATGAAGATTTTAAAGTTATAGCGACCAAGGCAGACAATTAAGCTGGCCCGTCGGGCTACCTTGATGTTTTTTTTCACTAGCTAGAAACAAAAGAAAGTATCAACGGGCTACCGGAAGGCGCTTAGTTTGGACGCTGTGTGACACTGTGTGACACTGTGTGGCACTAAGGCATTGCCGCAGAGTTAAAGAGTGGTTATTTACCAATATCCACCATAACATTTTAATTAGTTGACAAACAAAGGGAGTTTGGGTGAATTGGAACAAATGTCCTGGGATTGCCAATGATCAGGGCCAAGGCTCCCTTTAAGATCGAAACTTCAGAATCTGATTGGCTCACTACCTGCGCTTCCTACGGTCAAAGTTCACTCAGATTTCACTGACCTCAAAGAAGAGCTCAATTTGCCAGATCTTGATGCAGATACAATCGTAAAGTAACGGAGAACACGATCTGATCTTAATGAGATAGCAGGTAGACCCTTGAAGACCCGGGGTAGAATAGGTCTTCAGCAACCCATGCCTGCCGTAAAAGGTGACTATGCTTGTCGTAAAAGGCGACTAACGGGATCGGTTGGTCAGGCTCGCTGACTTCGTTTATGCATGTCATTTATCCCAATTGCGTGGATCGATGCTCATGATATTAATCACTGGGTTGCCTGGTCCCGACTCGATTATTTACAGACCGCCGTCATATAGCTGGAATATTGCTAAGTGCGGCGTTAAACAACAAACAACAAACCATTGCTACATATCAATCTGACACACTCACACTCCTAGGGTCTTTTCATCCCCAAACATGAGGCCACCGTAGGAGAGATACCCCAACTGTGGCCCGGCGGCTGGGACTTGAAACGAGGGAAACCCAGACACGACCCTGTCAGGGTCACCAGTCGATGTGTCCAGGGCGCCATCTGGGAATATCTGCGACATTAAACACCAAGACAAGTTGAGGGATATACACATTGATGCAGTACACCATATGTCATCATTTTAGTATTGAAAGGCAAAATATTTCCTTAAACAGTTAAAAATAGAATATCCAACTAAATTACTTCTTTATTTCAAACTTAATTTGAAAATTATAAATTTGTGTATCATTTTATTTCAAAGTGAGCTTCCTTTTATACATTCACCTGTTGAAAAATAACAATTGGAAGATTAGGAGAGATATAGGTTTTAAAGCAGCCGAAAATGCTGCTTGCACCCGCCACCATGTTATAACAGGTTGTCTGCCATTGGCCAAGTCGATCCCATCCATTGTGGCCTGTAGTGGCATTTAACTTCAAGGAGTTGTCTTCCGTGGAATACGTTTTCCCGCCAACGTGGAAGAAGATGGGGGCGCTGGAAAGCCACGTGACATTATTGACTTGGATGCTGTAGGTGCCATTAGTGACCACTGAGATGACAAATGGGTCCTCAGCGACGTGTTTTGGAAGAGTTCCTGGAAATTAATAGTATCAGATTGACGTTCCAAATGTGAGACTCACTTTAAACATGGAAATTCGCGAATACCTGCATTTACCTCCGAGTTCTTGTGCTGTGTCGTCGTCAGCGGTATTCCAGCTTCGGGGACCTGTAAAGTATCGAGTCCAGGCCAGGCAAACCGGTGGTTGAGAGCATGAGCATCGATACACGGCGTCGGAGTATGAATATACATGCAGCCAAAAATAATATCTTAAACGAAATAGTGATCCCAAATCAAGTCGGGATTCCACAGATGTGTAGCTTACCTTACCAGGTCTCACGTGAATGTTGTTTTACGCAGCGCTTAGCCATATTGTACCTACATCACGGTGGCCAAGAAATATTCATGTCGGCACCTGACCAACTACGTTTTGAATGCATGTGCAACGATCCTCCCCTTCGTGTTCAGATGACACACACGTTGTCAATAAGCCAGGTCACAGACTTAACGTCCGCCTCTAGACCAGGTGAAGATCCGTGGTAGAATAGATCTTCAGCAACCCATGCTTGCCATAAAAGGCGCCTATGCTTGTCCCAAGAGGCGACTAACGGGATCGGGTGGCCAGGCTCGTTGATGCATTTTATCGATCCCAATTGCGTGGATCGATGCTTATGATGTCCCTCGCTGGATTGTCTGGTCCAGACTCGATTATTTACAGACCGCCGTCATATAGCTGGAATATTGCTGAGTGCGGCGTTAAACAAAAAACCAAAAAACAGACTGTAACGCCTGTTGAAATACAGTTCCCGTTTCTTTTGCGGGTTTGGACCGGATTCCGACATGTTGCACCTCAATCTGCATTTGGCCAAATCATTTCACCATGTTCATAAAAATCAATTGTAAATGTTTGTAGATTTAATGCACACCAAAGATTTATTTGGTGCTGTAGTGAATTGATGCACTTTGCGATGTAAGACCGGTTTTATTGCAATATAGATCTTGATCATCGATCAGATAGTCTTGACTGGGCGCCGCCATTTTGTTTGAAGCAAATGCAAGTGATATGAGAGGTGACATCTGATTGGTCGAGAGGAGGGACATGGGAGGGACATAACTTGTAATAGCCACTGGTGGCGCTATGAACGAGCTGGGAGTAAAATTCCAGCCTTGTTGGGCAAGGGTGGAAACGGGACTTTTACTTGACAGTTAATTCCCACGGGAAGATGTGGTGTCCCCCGTCGTGATATTGCAGGAATAGTGCTAAAAGCGTCGTAAAACCATACTCACTCACAATAACTGACCGGAGTCCCACGGATGCCAAGTTTAGAGAAACATGCCTGTATTAATATATGCGTAGGACAATTATATATCAACATATGTCATATCTTGCAATTTCACAGCGTCAGTATTCATGCATACAGATTCAGCGAACATCTGTTACATGAAAGTCACGCACAACACAGCATGGCATAATATTTCAGGTAAAACGTTCTAGACGAATAATCTATAATTACACGCGGGTCTGTAAACTACATGCAGGCCGTACTTGCATGGTCAATTACAGTGTATAGGGTGTCCATCTGACCTGAAAGAGAGGGCTATGCTAACGCGGAAACGTATCACAAACTGGCATGAAACTACTAGTGAGTGAGTGGGAGGGGTCGTACACCCCTTTACACATTAGTACAGTGATATCACGCCGTGTCCTAGTCAGCGTAAAGAGGGAAGGAATTTTAAAGTGAGTCTGTGGGATGTTCACCGTTCTGTTGCAACCAACGAGCACGAGTGTGATATTGACACATTAAGGTTTGTTGTTTCTTTGTTTGTTTGTTTGTTGTTTAACGCCGCAATAGGTAATATTCCAGCTCTGTGACTGTGGTTTGTAAATAATCGAGTCTGGGCCAGAAAATCCAGTAATAATATTATGAGTATTGATCACCGCAAATGGGGGAAGATAACATCAACCAAGTTTGCGAGCCTGACCATCCGATCCCGTTTGTCGCCTCTTAAGACGAGCATGGGTTGCTGAAGACCTATTCTAACCCGAATCTTCACGGGGGATAAGCATGGGTTGCTGAAGACCCATTCTAACCCGGATCTTCACGGGTCGACCCACTAAGGATCATAATATGTACGAATATGGGGATTCGAAACCACAAGCAACGGATTCTGTTACGACCAAGGAGCACAACTCTGCGTTGCAATTTTCTATTCATTGACCACATTAACAGGAAATTGTCAAAGCACGTTTGAGTGTTTATCTCTTTTATTTATATTTTATAGAATCGGTGCTTTTTGAAATTGCATTTAAATAATAAATTGCACTATTCTAATGATCTATAATACTTAAACGGATAGCTAGTGTTTAGAAATGAGGCACTATCGCCAACGGGGGCACGGGTGGCCCAGTCGTCTAAGGCGCCGCGATTCGCTGTGCAGAGTTGCGTCCCCTGGGCACGCCAGAAACCTATGATTGTGGGTTCGAATCCCGGTTCGCCCCAATCATGTTTCTAGGTTTGTCAGCACCATACCCGTGCTCGTGGGTTTCACCGAAGTGGTAAACGTCTGAGACATGCATCACTTCGGGCTTTCCTCCCACATTAAGCTGACACGCCGTGATATAACTGGAATACTGTTAAAAGCGGCGTTAAACCCAACTCACTCACTCACTCGTTAATGACTATATAACTCTTCTCGCGGGCCATTTGGAAGTATTTTGCTCTTGCATTAACCGGGCTGTGGGTCTTGGCGTGACTTTGCATCATGCTAAAAGCGGCGTAGAGCTAACCTCGCTCACTGACGTTTATCAGTAAATGAACTTCATAAAAAACTGAATGAAATATTACTTACTGCAAAATACTACTTCAGGCAACATAAGCAACAGCCATATCTTCAGGTGGCCCATGGTGACTGTATACAGAGATGTACGCCTCTCGGTATCGCTGCGCAATGTCCCTAGCGTTATCACTGATATCGCCCACCAAGTGATATATATCGCCAAGAAGACGGACTATGTTGAATGTGAAGTATCTTCAGCTGGCGTCGCACCTTGGTCTGTTGATGTATCAAATGATAGAGGACGATGAGCGTGGTTTCAGCTATATTAATAACTAGGCCATCTGTTGACGTATACTCAAAGCGCTAACAATGTTTAACCCGGTGAATTGATCAGCCCCCTGTCTATACAACCCATGCTGCCTATGAGGCGCTAGAAGGTTAACGGTCACATATGACATCTCATCCTACCGGGTACCCATACACTGCTGGGTGAACTGTTTACACCCCAAGCAAACTTGTTTAGAGTCAAAGAAAACCACGTTGTCTGTAAATTCAAATCAAACTAATGGAATATTAATCAATACGTTGTGGATTACCCTAATGAAAAACAACAAACAAAAACACAAAGCATGGGCGTGGTAAACCCCACTCATGCGTTATGTTCATTAGGCGCATGGTTATGTGCCACACTCAGCAATATTCCAGCTATATGACGGCGGTTTGTAAAGAATCGAGCGTGGACCAGACAATCCAGTGATTGATGTTATGAGCATCGATCCACGCAATTGGGATACGATGACATGGAGAGACCAAGTCAGCGAGCCTGACCACCCGATCCCGTAAGTCGCCTCTTACTACAAGCACAGCCGCATTTTACGACAAGCATGGGTTGCTGAAGACCTATTCTGACCCTGATCTTCACGGGTCCCATGCCAATGCAGACGATCAGTATGACAATCTCTTATGACATTTTAAAGTTTGCCGGTCTTTAAATTAATTTATGACGTATATTTATTCGGAAACGATTAATTAATAAACACAGCAGGAGAAAAATCAAGTTCACCTGGTTTTTTTTATGATTGTGCAATGGTAGAAATAATATTTAATCACATTGGGGCTGAATTTTCCACAGCGGCGGAAAAGATTGAGATCCAAAAACGTTTTATTATTTCATGTCGGAATGAAAATTCAGTGCGGGCGGGAGATGGGAAACTCATAAATTTTTTTTGAAAAAAAGAGTCATGATCATCTTACCCCGTCACCACGTTCACGACGTCACGGTAAAATTATCACAAACTGAGTTGAAACACGACATATGTAAACGTATATATATAAATATATGTTATTTAAACTCTCGATCGGTCATACATACGGACGTAAATAAATTAAAACTGGAATTCCACTGTTGTCATGCGCGGTCGCCAGGGAGCTTTAATTACACATGAAGTAGGCAGGCGCCCAGTCTGTTTGCTGTGACCGATGAGCTGCAGTCGTCGGTCATCGAGACAGGCTTGTTCTTTGGTGAACGTGTTTCCGTACGTTTCCGCTTGTGACGTCACAGGCCTGCTCCGCCAGGTGCGACAGCTGTTTACGTGTAAGTAGGCATTAGTGTACCGTTATCGGATTCAACGCTCCATTTCGCATGCTAACCATGATTCTGCACAATAGATAACATCGATCCTAATTATTAGCTGTGTAGTGTTCGGTGCATCTCTCAGCTGCAGTTATAACCCCACAGAAGCAGGATTTCTTTGCTCGATAGTCGATACGTCGACCGTGCACTCATCGCCATGTTGATACGGATGTTACGTAATGAGAAGTTCAAAGTGCACGCGTGCGCAGAATTCGTTTAAAGTTTTCTTGGGTCGATACTTTTTGCTCTAACCTGTCACTTTCCTGATTCTCAGAAAATCCAGCTGTCCCGAAGTGTAACAGTGTTGACAGAAAGGGGAACTATTTAGGTCAACGTGGTCCAGTCAGATAATATAAATATGGGGGACCGGTAGATATCTAGTTTATTTACGAGGGTGGGGGTGGGTGGGGTGGGGGGGGGGGGGGGGGGGGGGGGGGGGGAGTGTAGTAGCCAGGAATATGTATATGTAGCAAAATATATTGACACAGGCTAGGGTGTCAGGTCTGTTTATTTTTAAAAAAATTATCGTTGATGATAAATTGACACCTTGGAACTATGAATACAATAATAAACATACAATTATCCACATTAAAATCGAATCAGATTAAATAATAATCTACTACACTTATAAGCTATTCATGTTTACATATCTCAGTTATAAGCGTAGATGTGTCAGTTTAATGGTTACATTTACACATCTAATATGAATATGGAACAATGAACATAATATTATATTATTGAATAACAATACAAACAATATATTATATTTGTATATAATATACTTGGAAAATCCCACTGGGGTGTATCTGGATGGTCACAATGAGTAAATCCCTCGTGATATCCTGTTCTTGATATAAAATTCATCATGAAGACATTTTTATTTACACATCTCAACTTTTATCAAATTATTAATACACAGTGCAAGTTACTGAATACACAAATGTCCAAGATCAACACAGACTGTTGACTTTCAGCTGGAATTTCCAGGCTCGATCGTAGCGCCACCAGTGGCTATTACTAGTCATGTGCCTTCTATGTTTCTCCTATTGACCAATCAGATTCCACTTCTCATATCACTTGCATTTGCGTCAAACAAAATGGCGGCGCTCAGTCAAGACGATCTGCTTCATAATCAAGATCCATATTGTAATATAATGGTTCTTACTCCGCCAAGTGTTTCCGAAACCGGATGTCTAGTTCGTTACAGGATTTTGATTGGACTATGCATAGACTCGTTAGTCCAGCCAAAATGTAACACCATCATTGCAGCCTAGTTCGGCAAGGTTCAGTTCGGTTCGTCGAAGATTTTACGTGAGCTTTCCGCATGAAATAAATTACACTTTAGCGTATCTCGCACACGGGGAAGCACTTATACTACTGGGGGAAAAAAAAAGCGTAATGAATAAATAAAGAAGTGCGACCCAAAAAGATGTAAATGTGGTAAATCTAAAATGATAATCTAGTGGGGTGGGTTTTGGCTGGGTGGGAGTGGGTGGTAAAAGAAAACTCAATAATATGGAAAAAAAGGGCATTGTTTGGAGGGGAGGGGGTCAAGCGTGGGAAGGCACTGCATCGGCTGGCGAGCGTGTGTGACGACAAGAGGAATTTACTGCAACTGGCCGCTGAGGAGCGTGAAGGCGATGTTGCATTCTATTCACGGCAGATGCCTGGGAAGAGTCCGTCGACGAGGCGGGCGGCCATGGCGGCGACAAAGTTGTTTGAGAAGACGACATCGCTGTTTTCCAGGAAGTCCTTTAGGTCCTGGAAGCTGTGCATCTCGTGCTCGAAGCATTCGCCCTCTATGGTCTGGACCATAACCATGGCTGGTTGGGGGCGGCTGCTGGGGTGGATCCTGTTTGTTGGTGCCCCAGAGGCGGTGGGGGGAAGGTGCTTGAAGCGGTCCATGACTTTAGCCGATTCCCGGGTGAGCTTTAGCCGCGCGTACCCTGGCTTCTCCTTTGGCACTTTGACCGGGTTGGTCTGGGTGTGGCTGTCGCGGAGAGGGGGGACTGGTGGAGTGGCGGTCTGGGTGTGGCTGTCATTGAGTGTAGGGCCTGGTGGGTCGGCGGTCTGACACTCTATGGACTTGGTGATTGTAGGAGCTGGGAGGGGTGAAGCCTCTGGGGAGAAGATGCTTCTCCTCTTTCTCTTCTTTCTCCCGTGTCCAGTCCCCTCAGGCGAGCGAAAGGGCTCCTCCCCTCTGGATTCGAGGGGAGCGAGTTCCGATGCTGCTGTTGGGGGCGGAGGGGTAGTGGGAAGACTTTCATCGATCTCCATGACGGAGACTGGTGGGGTCTTCTTTACCTTGGGCGGCCTGTTCTTCTGTACCGGGCGTGGTGCAGCAGGGGTAGGGGCCAGGGTGGGTTTCTCCTTAGGCTTGGTCTTGGCCGGGGCTTTGACCAGAGGCCTCTTCTTTTGACCTAAGTCAAAGGAGATGGAGAGCGTGGAGGTTTTGGACTTATAGGAAATCCTGAGGGAGTAGTCCCCAACCCGGTAAGCCAGCAAGGGCTCCAGGATGGAGACAAGCTCTCTCGGTAACGACTTTGAGAGGTCTCTCATAGTCAGCTTGTAGTTTTGAGAGCTTGGAAGGACACGTCTGCACGGGGCGAGTGTCCAAGCCTGCAAGGGTGGAAACTGGACTTTTATAGTCAGTTAACTCCCTAGCATCAGGAAGATGGTTTGACACCAACTGGGCATCAACATAAATATTTAAAATCTTTTCATGTTTTCAGTCAAGGCGCTCAAGTGATTTGATGCACTTTACGAGGTAAGGCCCGTCTTTTTTTTTACGTTATGGACCTTGATTATTGATCAGATCGTGGTACCGCCATTTTGTTTGAAGCAACTGCAAGTGATATGAGGTGGAATCTGATTGGTCAAAAGGAGGCGCATAGAAGGGACATAACTAGTAATATACACTGGTGGTGCTATAAACGAGCCTGTAAATTCCCGCCTAGTTCGGCAAGGGTGGAAACTAGGCTTTTGTAGTCAGTTAACTCCTTTACTTTGTGAAGATGTCCCTTAAACTGAATACTGTAACCATGGTAACCCATATATGCTCAATCAAAGAAGAGTGCCACTTCACATGTAAGGCATGCACAAAATCAACATCAGCATTCATTTGACTGCTATCACACGCAGTAAGCAGTGAATAGTCGGTATTCGATCGACTGCAAAATTAAATATATGTTTTGTATACAGCAGATCCCAATGGTCTCAAATTCCCGAGGGGGCATGGGTGGCCTGGTCGTCAAAGGTGACACATTTTGCTGTGGATAGTTGTGCCCCTGAAGCGTCCCAGAAACCCATGATTGGGGTTCGAATCCCAGATTCCCCGATTATGTTTCTAGGTTTGTCGACACCGTGCCCTGTCTGGTGGGTTTCAAAGAAGTGGTAAAAATCTGAGACCTGCATCATTTCGGGCTTTCCTCCCACATTAAGCTAACATGCCGTGATATAACTGGAATACTGTTAAAAGAGGCGTTAAATCCAACTCACTCACTTGAACTCCTGGAGACCAGATAAATAGTTTGACTTATCCATGGTTCAACACATTCAATTCTATCTCATTACCATCTGACCTAGCCACCAGAAAACTGAAGGTACCACATTCTGCATACATTATGTAAATAACATTGAATAAATAAGAAATATGAACAGAAGCATTTATTATACCTACATTTTATACATAAACATCTGAATGTATTGCATTCAAATATTACACATTCTTAGATGTGGTTTGAGTTTAAAGTTATTTTTAAATCTGAGAACTATAAATTGAATTTTGTGACAACCAGGAATTCAACCCTTCCATGATCCAGTTCAACACATCCGGGTAAATAGTGGTCAGTAGAGACAGAGTTTGTAGGACCTGTCTGTTAGTTCAACACATCCGGGTAAATAGTGGTCAGTAGAGACAGAGTTTGTAGGACCTGTCTGTTAGTTCAACACATCCGGGTAAATAGTGGTCAATAAAGACAGAGTTTGTTGGACCTGTCTGTTAGTTCAACACATTGATTTGACAAAAGGGGTTCACCATCATATAGCTGGAATATTGCTGAGTGTGGCGTTAAACAACAAAATACAGGCAAACAAAACAACAAACAGTATTATGATGATCATCTCTCAATTTCTCTTGAGCCTATTTATAAAACTATGTTTTCTAATATGTGTTTCAAACTAAAAAGTAAGTTCTATTGAGTGCTAAACAGACACTAAAGTATGTATCTCTATCACAATATGTACAAACATAGGCCATTGAAATTCTATCATGCAGCTTTTATCATTAATAGCTAGCCCAGGAACCATTATTGTATTGACGAACCAGCTGTTTCTGTAGGAATGTATATAATTCATGAATCAATTACTTCAGCATTTTTGTAGCATGTGAGTGTTCAGTGTGATAAGAGGGATGATCTTGACCTGCTCAGAGAAAGACATCAGAAATTTCAAAATTGGATTTAAAAATTTCCAAGTTGATGTTAGTACTGTTGTGATGACTAAAGTTATGTCTTGGACAAGGTGACACGTTATTCACTGATGATGGGACTAGTAGAGAGGACGCTTGATTCTTTGGTTTAAGGTAATTAAATTCAATGTTAAAATTCATGTACCTTTGAATTTAAGAAATTCAATTTTAAACAAAATAATGATTTTTGCCTCTCTTTGCCTGCCATGGACGCATAGCCGGGATCCTAGATGTCCCTGCTTATAGATCAACATCGGAATTGTCAGTGGCAGATGTTTAACCTGTGGTATCATTATGCATATGTGACTTTGTTGGACATTACTGCATTGAATGCAGTGTTAGAAAACCTCTAAATATAGGAGGGACGGTGCACTAGCCTAGTGGGTAAAGTGTTCGCTTATCATGCCAAATACCCGGTTCAATTCCCACATGGGTACAATGGGTGAAGCCCATTTCTTGTGTTCCCCGCCGTGATATTGCTGGAAAATTGCTAAAAGTGGCGTAAAACCATACTCACTCACTAAGTGTGGAACTATAAAAAACATACACAAGTTCTCAATTTTGAAGGGGCAGTCGGGTAGCCCAGTGGTTAAAGCGTTCGCTCGTCATGCAGAAGACCCGGGTTCAATTCCCGACATGGGTACAATGTGTGAAGCCCATTTCTGGTGTACCCCGCCGTGATATTGCTGGAATATTGCTAAAAGCGGCGTAAAACCATACTCACTCACTCACTCACTAAGTGTGGAACTATAAAAAACATACACAAGTTCTCAATTTTTGAGATCGTATTATCCCTTTTTACGCAATTTGCCAACCATGTGCATTTATCTAAGCTCCTAGGTAAATGCCTGATTCTGTTGTGATAAAATGTATAATACCATGGGGATTCCTGGTCAGAATAGACCACTACCTCAGAGTCCTTAAAAATAATGTACCATCGGTGAATAGTGTTTTAAAATTCCTTGTATTGTGAACCACATCTGTGGTTCAGTGGATAGAGCATCAGGGAGAGTGAAAAGTGGGTGGTTCCCCGGCCGCATCATACTAAAAGATGTTAAAAGATGGTACTTGTTGTTTCCCTGTCTGGTGCTTGTCATTAAGAGGATACCAAGGTGGGATTGGAGTCTGTATAGTGTCTGAAAGGGGTGTCCCTATTAAACTACAGCACAGTGTCTTGGTGGTCTATCACTATAAGACACACACACACTCACACACTTCACCACACCTCACCTTGTGGCTTTACCTAGGGCCATCAGGTCACTCCGGGTCAACAGGAAATGTTGGTATTAATACCATGTTGTATTTCTTTTATTCCATCAACAAAAGATTGGTTCAGGTAAATAAGAACAAAATTAACTCGGTTTGTTTCTTCTTTATTTGGCTCTGGTCAGTTGAATCAGTGAACCAACATTTGACAGAAATGTCATTTGGAATGTACATTGTTATTAACACAAAGAAATATGTTTAGCATGGTTGTGTTTTGTTTCAGGCCTGGTCATGTTCAATGAAGATTAGAATACATCAGGAAGACACAGAAAATGGCCATTCCAGAAAAGGTCAGTATTACCATTGAGGCCATGCTGACCACAGCACAGGTGTTGACTGGTGTGTGTTCAGTGTGCTCCCTCATGTCTGATGTTGTTCCTATGTTGTTGACTTCAGTGTGTTACTGACTGGTCTGTGTTCAGTGTGCTTCCTCATGTCTGATGTTGTTCCTATGTTGTTGACTTCAGTGTGTTACTGACTGGTCTGTGTTCAGTGTGCTCCTTCATGTCTGATGTTGTTCCTATGTTGTTGACTTCAGTGTGTCACTGAATGGTCTGTGTTCAGTGTGCTCCTTCATGTCTGATGTTGTTCCTATGTTGTTGACTTCAGTGTGTTACTGACTGGTCTGTGTTCAGTGTGCTTCCTCATGTCTGATGTTGTTCCTATGTTGTTGACTTCAGTGTGTTACTGACTGGTCTGTGTTCAGTGTGCTCCTTCATGTCTGATGTTGTTCCTATGTTGTTGACTTCAGTGTGTTACTGACTGGTCTGTGTTCAGTGTGCTCCTTCATGTCTGATGTTGTTCCTATGTTGTTGACTGGCGTGTGTTACTGACTGGTTTGTGTTCAGTATGCTCTCTCATGTCTAATGTTGTTCCTATGTTGTTGAATTTAGTGTGTTACTGACTGGTCTGTGTTCAGTATGCTCTCTCATGTCTAATGTTGTTCCTATGTTGTTGACTGCAGTGTGTTACTGACTGGTCTGTGTTCAGTGTGCTCCCTCATGTCTGATGTTGTTCTGATGTTGTTGACTGCAGTGTGTTACTGACTGGTCTGTGTTCAGTGTGCTCTCTCATGTCTAATGTTGTTCCTATGTTAATTGTTGACTGCAGTGTGTTACTGACTGGTCTGTGTTCAGTGTGCTCTCTCATGTCTAATGTTGTTCATATGTTGTTGACTGCAGTGTGTTATTGACTGGTCTGTGTTCAGTGTGCTCTCTCATGTCTAATGTTGTTCCTATATTGTTGACTGCATGGTCTGTGTTCAGTGTGCTCCCTCATGTCTAATGTTGTTCATATGGTGTTGACTTCAGCGTGTTACTGACTGGTCTGTGTTCAGTGTGCTTCCTCATGTCTGATGTTGTTCCTATGTTGTTGACTTCAGTGTGTTACTGACTGGTCTGTGTTCAGTGTGCTCCTTCATGTCTGATATTGTTCCTATGTTGTTGACTTCAGTGTGTTACTGACTGGTCTGTGTTCAGTATGCTCTCTCATGTCTAATGTTGTTCCTATGTTAATTGTTGACTTCAGTGTGTTACTGACTGGTCTGTGTTCAGTGTGCTTCCTCATGTCTAATGTTGTTCATAAGTTGTTGACTGCAGTGTGTTACTGACTGGTCTGTGTTCAGTGTGCTCTCTCATGTCTAATGTTGTTCCTATATTGTTGACTGCATGGTCTGTGTTCAGTGTGCTCCCTCATGTCTAATGTTGTTCATATGGTGTTGACTTCAGCGTGTTACTGACTGGTCTGTGTTCAGTGTGCTCTCTCATGTCTAATGTCCGTATGTTGTTGACTGCAGTGAGTCCGAAACAAGTCCTTCTGAGTTACTAACTGGTCTCAATGTGCTCCCTTCATAGTGAGTGAGTGAGTTGGATTTAATGCTTCATTGAACAGTATTCCAGTTATATCACGGCGATTCAGCGTAATGTGGGAGGAAAGCCCTAAGTGATGCAGGTCTGAGACGGTTACCACTTCGGTGAAACCCACAAGCACGGGTATGGTACTAACAAACCTAGAAACATAATCAAGGTGAACAGTGATTCCAAAGTTAGTCACCTTTTACAATTAGCCATGGGGCACATTTCATTTGCTGTGGAGTGAGTGAGTGAGTTAAAGTTAAACGTCACATCGGCAATATTTTGAGCCATATCGTGCTGTGGGGGTAAGGTGGGTGCTGCACATGAAGTGGAATAACATTGACTTGATAACGTGTAGGCTGTCGTGATATTGCTGACTGTGCATAAACAATACACTCACTGACTTCCCTGGTTTTCAGGAACTTGATTATCACTACTCCCCAAGTCGATGGTCTCACAGATATGGCCCAGATGAGGTCATTGATGCACACATAAAATCTGTTACAGAAGGTGAGAGCAAACACATCAGTGCACGTAGATCTCCCCTTGAGTCAGTCTATCATCAATTGTTTGATAGGCATTACTTAGAAGTTGACGGACGACAAAGTAGACACAATTTATGGATAACAAGTTCTTAATACTGTAAAAAGCGACGTTTCGGTATAGATCCTTATACTGTTGTCAAGTTGAAAGGGACTGATTTAGAGGCTGGCTTTTACAGAGGCTGTGATGAGAAATGGGGGTGAAACGATACAGAAAGGTCATGATACGATACATATACGATACGTATCATGATACATAGGTGACGATACCATACGATACGATACATATCACGATACACATATTTACGTCAAATCGCGTTGAAATTTCTTGCTAAAAAACGAAAAACTAGCTGTAGACACATTTCTTGTGGGCACTGTAGTGTATTCTCCTTATAGTTGTTTACATTGCGTGTGATACAGTTTCCCGCAATATCCAAGTACACATCATCTCGTTATGTCATATGATGACGTCATGTATGGATGCGATGTCTAAGTAAACTAGCAATAAGGTGTAAATACATGACAGTTTTGACGACGAGGATGGGATGAGAAAACCAGAAAGAAAGCCATGTTTTAGGTGTAATCTCACAAATCATGACCCAGATGACTGTTACTATAAGAATAAGAAGTGCAATAAGTGCAAGAAATTGGGACATATAGAAAGAGCTTGTAGAAGTATAGGGGCAAAGAATCAGAGAACTGGCTATCGTCAGAATACTGGGAAGGCACACTTGGTAGAAGAAACTGCAGAGATGTCAGATTCAGATACAGGGGCTGAGAATTTGTACGCAATATTTTCTATGGATCGCAATGAGAAATCTAATGATGGATTCAAGATACCTCTTACCATAGAAGGAAAGGATGTTGCATTGTTCCTTGACACGGCTGCTAGTCATTCTATCATAGGAGAAGAGATGTACAAGAGACATTTCGATAAGATACCATTATCTTCCACAAAAGTGACTCTTCACGATTACTCAGAAAAGAAAATACCATTACTTGGAGAAGCCAAGGTAACTGTGGTATACAATGAGAAAGAATTCACCCTACCATTACTTGTTGCAAGGGGACGCAGGGCACCTTTATTTGGATAACAACTGGTAATACCATTCCTACAGAGGAGGAGACTACTCAACACAAGCTACAACCAGCGTTTAAGCCAGCCAGCAACCTTGAATCAAGGGAGAGAACTCTTGATAAACCTGTGACTTCAACAAATGGTGAACAAAGACGCTATCCACAGAGTACACGAAAACAAGTGCAGAGACTTGATCTTTGAACATTGTGACTTTAATGAGGACAGTTCTGGCATCTCGCAGGAATTGTCAATTCAACAGTTATTCAAGCTCAGAATTTACAAGTTCTAAAAGTTGTGTTAATTCCAGTTATAAAAGTTATAATGAAATGGACTTTAATGTTGCTATTATTCAGAAGCCTAACATTACAGCAAGATCGTAGTACACCTCCCGATGGACTGTAGAAGTATTATTATTATTATATATATGTCAATATTATTGATGGACTCTAATCTTTAATACAATCATAAGGTAAATGTTTAGAGGGGAGGAGTGTAGTGTATTCTCCTTATAGTTGTTTACATTGCGTGTGATACAGTTTCCCGCAATATCCAAGTACACATCATCTCGTTACGTCATATGATGACGTCATGTATGGATGCGATGTCTAAGTAAACTATGGTGGCTTCCTTCCATGTTCTGTGGTGTTTTGGCTTGCATACTCCCGAGCAATAAGGTGTAAATACATGACAGGCACGTTTAGTTGTGAACTTGAATTGAAACGCTAGTTACAACACATTTTGAGATATTTGACTGACAAGAATGCTGATGTCATTAAACAAGCAGTAAGTAATATTTTAGCAAGTGTATTGTCTCGTATCAATATAGAAAAAAACATTGTGTATCGCATCGTCGTGGGAAAACTCGTGGTGCACCAATGTATCATGTACCTTAGTGAAAAACACGAACATGTTTTTATGTGGCCTAAATACCTTAGATTCAGTCAACCCCACAATATGTCACTACGCTTCATGTAAGCTGTACTTTATCACAGCTGGTGGCAGTGTTTGATATAAACAACATTGCCAGGCGGCCATCAGGACCCACAGACTTTAGAAACTGCAGGCCTGACTACACTCTTCAGGCCCTCATTTGATAAAACTGCATCTTATTGTGACAAATAAATCAACACGTTATTTACTGTAGGCCTTAAGGACCCGTACAAATTTGAAACTACGGGCCCCCCCCCTCCCAAATCTACCAGCCATGGTCCAGGGGCAGGCGCTTATTTCGAACACTGACTGGTGTTGTATATCGATTTTTATCACAGCTGAAATTCCAGGGATTTATCTAGACCTGCTCAGAGGCCGATAATTGGCACCATGTGTGCAGCAAATTACAGTTAATGTTCTCAGTTTGAATTGAATTTTATTCCTCAATTCCTCAAAATATTCGAAAATTGGATCATTAAACAAATTAAATTTTGATCAATATCATGATATTCCCCAGTTTGCTTGCCAAGGGCACTTAGTTTGGAACCGTAAATAAATCACCGAGTTTATATTCAAGTGAGCTTGTGTCCTGGTCATGCTGGTACCTTGTCAGACACAAAGTTTCTACTTTTTAACAATTTCCCAAAGTTAATGTATGTTATCAAAAATCCTGAATATTAGCAATAACTTATATAGACATTATAGAGACATGTAGTTCAGTTGATTTATGACTTTAAAAAAAGGCCTTCTAAGGGTTGGTATAAATATTGACATCTATTCAATGTTTGGATTTTGAACCACCAGTTGAGCACAGCCTCCCAAACAGGGTTAGACACCAATGGTTATATCCAACTAGTTAGCAGACAACTAGATTTTAACTAGTCTCAGACAAACAGAATAGTGGCCATATCTATCACTGCCTAGTTCATAATTGTTAAATGTTACTTTTATTTTCACACCAATTCCAAGTTGTACAACACATGAGTTTTGATGTTGTTTTTTACAGGTAGCAAGGTTGCCCATTGGTGCCTTGACTGCGACAGCGACATCCCCTACGGTACGGGAAAGAAACAGAAGCTGGACATCTTTAATGCCAAAAATGCAAAGAGAAATGGTACGTGTTTACCCTAGATACCATTACATTTTCTGCTTTTGAAAGACATCGCTACACGGCACATTCAGGGATATACCAGCTGGGAAATCCTGCATGAATGAAAATGCACACACACTGTATGTATATATATATGCAAGAGCAATATTTTTTACTTATCCTGAATTACTCCTTAATGCATATTACTGCTTGTTCTTGACAGAGAAAAGAGCTGTGTGAAGGTTTTTGCTTGAAGAAGTTGTTCCAGCTAGCTGAACACAGCTATCACACAGCTCCCACGTGACCAAAGGAAGTGACGTCACGGATCCTCACATTACTCTTGTCACTTGCTGAGTCCAGACCTGTTTTTTGCTGTAGCGTTTTTGCTCGCCTGCGTTCTGTAATCTTCTTGCTTGGTGCCCCACCATTGGCGTACCCTTGCAAGTATTTTGTCTCCGTTTGTATGTTGTCTTACGTTTGTCGTAATATTTGTTTCATAAACCCACACAGTGGGATAAACAAATTACATCATACATAATCGGGAGGGGACGCATTGTGATTTTACACTACTACACCACGGTCTCCCCAACATAGACCTATTCGCCACCAGCCAGAACTGCCCGATTCCGACCTACATATTGCCGGTCCCGGATCCCCTGGCTTGGGCATTCGACACCTTCAGCGTCCCCTGGGAAGGACTAAGAGCATGCGCTTTTCTGCTGCCTATGCTCCTCAAGGTCGTCAGAATCGATCTGACTTTGGTCGCGCCAGCGAGGGCTTGGTTCGTCGACCTCAGAGAGCTAACCGACGCCAACCCACTGCCACTCCCAGATTGGCCATATCTGCTGATCAACCCTCACAGCAGACAGCCACACCCAGGACCATACAAGTTATGACCTTACGTCGGGTCCATTTACAGAGGGCATTGAACGCCAAGGGCTACCAGGCCAGAGCGGCAAGGGCCATCACGATGGCGCATCGCCCGACCACCAGGAGCCTCTATGATAACAAGGGGAAATCCTGCGAGAGCTTTTGCAGGGGCAAGCAACGAGACCCCACATCTGCATTGCCTCAATTCCTGGCCGAGTTCATGCTCCATCTGCAACACAAGCTTAAGCCATGACCCTCACTATCGCGCTCAACTCCAACCTGGCAGTTCCAAAAGATCGGCACATGATGAAAATCCCGGAACTCAAGGCGCTGCTCCACTCATTCAGGCTGGAAGACCAAAAGGCGAAATTCAGTCCACCAGCTTGGGACTTGAATGTCATTCTCACCTCGCTGAGAGATGCGCCTTTTGAGCCACTCAAAACGTCGTCATTCTACAATCTGACAAAAAAAGACGGTCTTCCTACTGGTGCTCACTACAGCAGCCCGTGTCAGTGAGCTACACGCCTTGGACGTCACATGCGTCCACTTTGAGCATTGAGCACACAGAGCCATGCATCTGGGCCTGTGCTGGGACTTCATTGCAAAGAATCAACTCCTGGGACAGCTAGATAGATTGTTCCTCATCCCTCCCCTATCATCGATTGTTGGCACGGAAGACGAACAAGAGCTTGGTCTATATCCGGTTAGAGCGCTCCGTTGCTACATCAAACAATCCAAGGAACGCCGTAGACAACGATGACGCCTCTTCATACTGGTATCTGCAACCTCGCGAGCGGAAGTCAGCTACAACACAATCGTGTTTGGCTACGAGCCATCATTCTCCAGGCCTACGAGGCAGCGGGATTGGACCCTCAACACTCCAACAACTGCATGAGATCCGGGCAGGTCGCCTCCACCATGGCGCTACAGAGCAACTGCGCTTTAAGTGCCATCATGGAGAGGTGTTTCTGGGGATCAAACACAGTCTTCGCCAGTCACTACCTGCGAGATGTCACACTGGAGGATGTGCAAGGCACACACAGCTTTGGTCCATTAGTAGTGGCTCAACATGTCACCACTACTAAACGTCACTGACCTCGCCTCATGTCCAGAGTCGGTGTTTGCATACAGCTTGGTACTCCAGTCTAAGGCCTTAACTTGAGAGGGTTATCATCGATGGCTGCATAGTACCAGAAAACAAGGCATACCTGACTCTTCCCATCCATGTAATTGAAATGCAGAATAAGTAAAACATCTAGTAAAATCCTAGATATTATTTATATTTGTATACTTATCCTGCATTACTGCGTCTAAAGAGACCCACCAGTCGCAGAGCTGCCTCCCCACGATGCCTTCCTATGTTCCGGACTCCAGAGTAATGTGAGGATCCGTGACGTCACTTCCATTGGTGGGTAGCTGCGTGATAGGGTTGGCCTCTCTGCTAGTTGGAACAACTTCTTCAAGCAAAGACCTTCACACAGCTCTTTCCTCTGTCAAGAACGAGCAGTAGTATGCATTGAGGAGTAATGCAGGATAGGTATACAAATATAAAAATTATCTAGGATTTTACCAGAATCTTGTCATTCAACCCCATTTTACTTGACCTGACTATAATTTGGTACCACTTATAATTAATTTCTGTATGTAATCAATTACAAAATACCGTAACAGTCCATCTTCTAGCGTTTCAGTTTGGGAAGTCCATATGAATTTTAACGGACAATTTCTGAGGATGCTCAATTTTATGTCACGTGTACTGTATTCAGTTTAATGTCACGTGTTGTAGAGTACTGTATTCAGTTTAATGTCACGTGTTGTAGAGTACTGTATTCAGTTTAATGTCACGTGTTGTAGAGTACTGTATTCAGTTTAATGTCACGTGTTGTAGAGTACTGTATTCAGTTTAATGTCACGTGTTGTAGAGTACTGTATTCAGTTTAATGTCACGTGTTGTAGAGTACTGTATTCAGTTTAATGTCACGTGTTGTAGAGTACTGTATTCAGTTTAATGTCACGTGTTGTAGAGTACTGTATTCAGTTTAATGTCCCGTGTTGTAGAGTACTGTATTCAGTTTAATGTCCGTGTTGTAGAGTACTGTATTCAGTTTAATGTCACGTGTTGTAGAGTACTGTATTCAGTTTAATGTCGATGTGTGTTAACTTGCTCACAGAATTCCAGTCTGTCTTATGAAGTGTGTTGTATGCAGTATAACATATAATATGGTTTGGGGCATATTTTGATTATTATTTTTTATCAAACTATGACATTTAACCTTCACACACCCCTGTTTTTCTAGTGTTACTGCATTTTTGACATCTCAGAAAGTACAAAGCCAATGGAGTTGAAAGTTTGTATGAATGATCCCAACTATGGTGTCTCTAAATACATGCTCACATGAGTCCAGTCTGACTTTAATCATGGCTACCATTGTTTCTGTATGTGTCAGGTGAGCTACAGAGCCTTGTGACTCTTTCACATTTCTCTGCAACCTCCAATTTTTAGTAATTAGAGGCTTTTGAGCCCCTAAGCCCACACCCCAAGCCCCCACCCCACCCTTTTATTCACATGTATGACCTGCCTTCTTCACATTGTAATCTTCACCAATCATTGTAATAAAGAATTTGTATATCCATACAACTATCTCACTTGTTTAGAAGTTGTACTTTACTGAGAGAGTGTTGTCCCAAATATAACATTTGTAATAATTTGTTATAGAAGTTGAGAATGTTTATTACGTCTGAAAATAAATTATGTTGTGCAGATGATTAAACGTTACGTAGGATCTGCCCTCAATGTATTTCACTGTGTTCCAGGTCTCCCTATATTAGTGTACATCCATGGGGGCTACTGGCAAAACTTGAGGTAAGTAGTATCACACTGATGGCTACCTTCCATGTCAAGTAGCACTACAATGGTTGGACCAAATGTTTAGGGTTTCCGGTAGTCCGACCAACCCATCATTTCACTTTTGACTCAAACAGTTTTACTACATGTGTAACCAGTTGTGTGGAATGCATTCGGAATGCAGTTCTGTTGGTGACATTTCCAGTGCAGCGACTTTATAGGCTGCAATTCCACAATATTCTGGCATAGTTGTCATAGATATTGCATCAACATTCATTCAGCATGATTGAAAATCACATACATCTAACTGTTCCGCTTTCAATAGTTACATCATCTTCCCGAGGCAAGCGTGTCCACTAGCTTATATCAAAGCCTCGTGTCTACCCTTGCCACATCAAGGCCATTTTTCTTGGCTCAACCCTTGCGCCACCTCGCGTAGATCACGAGTTGTGCCCCTTGTAATGAAAACGTGATATCCAATAAGATCACTGTTCTTATCTCGTATAGCTTCACAAAGATGGTGACTACCATAGGCAATGACCTCATCGATCAGATAACGAAAATATTTGTTGACTTTCAGATTTCAAATCTATATCTAAGTATCATATTTTGTTGTTAGATTGATACAATAATCAAGCACAGCATCAGATAAGATGGTTGGGTGACTCAATCACCTGTCACGATCAGTTGCGGTTAACTACATGAGCGCATGGGATAATCCTTAATATTTTTCTTTTATTTAATGTTTTGTCATCATCTTGTTCTTATTACCATGGAAATGTGTTTTATTTCTTGGTAGCCTTGAGATGTCTGGGTTTATGGCACCTCCATTGTGCAAAGCTGGCGCCACGGTGATTTCTGTTGGTTATGACCTTGCCCCTGAAGGTAAGTTGTCTCCCTTTGAACTGAAGATAAGTTGTCTCCCTTTGTACATAACACTCACCCTAGGGAGAAAAGGACCCCATTTGTTCCCACTATCATGTTTCTGGTACCAGCAAGAGTTAAAACAGAGCAAGCACCAGACCCATGGGCATGCATTTCTCAAAGTGGTTTAGCTCTTACTAGGGCTGGGACGAGTCCAGATTTACTACCCGGGTACCCACCCCCCTATTACTCGACCCTACCTGGGTACCCACAGTAGGTCTCAAGAGGCAGGTACAAAAATTTTCGATTGGGAATTTTATACCATAGCCCGGGCAAAATGTATTTAGATACATGTAATAAAACAATCTGGTCATGCATACACTGAAGTTGATATGTTTATTCAACCATAGTCAGAAGGAATGGGTGCATAGTTAGAAAGAAATGCGAACATTAGTGACTTATACCATGGTATTACCGAAATATTCACAAAGCAGTGTTATTAACTCCAACCCAACCCTTTCCAACTCAACCCACCCACTCACTCATCCCTTTCATTCACTCAACCACCCAGCCACCCCTCATTCTCGTGGACAGAGCATCTGCTCACTGCTGAGAGTTTTGTGGTTTGTTTCCCTTGCCGCATCCTAGAGATGGTACTTGTTGTTGCCCTGACTGCCACACAGTGTTCAGAGGTAACACAAGGTCTGGTCAGCTCGGAGTCAGTATACTGTGTCTGAGTGGGGTATTCATGTTAAACTGCGGCTAGTATCTCAGTGGGATAGCACTATGAACCTGACTAGTGCAGACTAGTACAAGCAGCCGCACACACAAGTGCATGCATATCACTATATAAGTACATTACTCATAAACGCGACATTAAATCCCATTTCACTCCATCTAATGTCATGGATTGTTGCTTATCATATCAATCATTGGTTTGTCTGGACCAGATTCTATTAGTGTAAAGCTGATGTTATGTAACTGAAACATTGTGTGGCACAAAACAACATTCACTCCCTGCTATTGTGGACATAATGCTGCACTCGGCATAGAAATTATTATTTCGGAAGACTCAACATGGCGACTAATGGTACGGCATTTATGATAAGTGTATCCATTCTCTTGCAACTAAAGTTTGTTTCAAGGCATCAATAGCGGTAATCTGACCATGGTTGCTGTAAATAACAGTGAGTTGTGCAATCCACCGATCACTTCTCTTACGATTTTGCCGAAATTGTTGTAAACATTATTATAATTATTGAATGAAATTTTGAATATAATTAATAAAATATATTGCAAACATAGTCAAGATAAACAGTGAACAATTTCTTTATTACCAGATATTATAATAATAGGATTAAACTGCATACTTCAGTTCGGATTTGTTAACTGGTATTTCCAGTGTTACTTGATCGCGGTGATAAGCATATAATGTTTTCTGAGATGGGGGAAAACATCGAGTCATTGGAAAACTTGAGTTTATTAAAAATGTTAGTAAATTTTAGGAGCCATGCTTTACAGTACGCTATAACCGAGTTAGCTCTATATTGAAGAGCGCAATAACGAGGGAACACTGTATCACTGACCTATTGCAAGTGTTTTATCAGATGTGTCTTCTTTCAGCTTCTATGGACAGAATTGTGAGTGAAATTAAACAAGCAATGAGGTACATCCTGAGATATGCCAAGGAACATCAGTCCAGGTTGGTGGAGCTTGCCATGTGTGCTTAATGTGCTTGTTTATAATCTCCCCTGTAGGGACTCTGTGTGACAAGAGGTCCCCAGTAGCCTGTATGTTTGTCACAAGATCCTTCTGACTGGATCAGGTGGTCAGGATTGGTGACTTCGTTGATTGTCTTTACAAAGTGTCAAACTTTCATCTTATTATTATCAAATGAATGTTGGGAGATGGGCACAACATAAACCTATTTTTGTGGGTTTGAATCCCAGTTCGCCTTGATTATGTGTCCAGGTTTGTCAGCACCATGGACGTTGGTTTCACCAAAGTGGTAATAGTCTAAGACCTGCATCACTTCAAGCTTTTCTCCCACATCAAACTGACACTCCATGATATATCTGGAATACTGTTCAAAGCGGGTATAACACAACTCACTCATGCAAGATAATTAGGCTACTACAATCAATTCTGTGGAAAGATTAATTCAGTGATCCCGGAAAAGTAAGAGGTGAAAACAATATGCTTCCCTCCGTGGTCACAAGGTATGTTGCTATGGTTACAGGGGTATCTACCTGTGCGGTCACTCTGCTGGGGGGCACCTTGCCTCCATGGTCCTGGCTTGTGAGTTTGCTGAAGATGATGCCTTTGACAGCGAGATGATCAAAGGTCAGCCCACTATATTACTGGAGGAAATGAATTCAGTTTGGGGGCAGAGTCGAACATGTTCTTAGCTGCATCATATTATATAGGTTCTGATTGTAGAATATTATCCTTTCAGTCAATCTCATTAAAATCAGATCTTTAACTCTAAAATGATACCTCTCTGCATACTGATCTCTGGAACCTCCATTTAAAGCTGCAGCATTTTTTATTTTTTGTTCACCCTGTCAATGGGTTCTATTGCATCTACACTCAAATGGAAGTATCTTTTGACGGAATTATTGTGTTCTTTGTGGGATTGCATTTGTTAAAATCGAAATTCCTGAACTGAGGTGGTTGAGTAATATGGCCAAGTAGTTTTAGAAAGCTGACATCTGATTGGCTCAAGAATGTACGCATCCTTCTTTTAGACTGTGTGGTAAAGGTCACTCAGAGTTCACCTTATGCCAGCTTCTATTAGAGTGAAACGATACACCAGTGCATCGTGAGCTTTCATGTATACGGTACATTATATGATTTTTTTCTGTATTGATGCAAGACAATACACTTGCAAAAATAAATTACTTACTACGAATATGCAAATCGCGATACATAACATATCATGAGCTTGCTGTTTTGTATCACCCTACCTTCTATGGAAGTACCGTATGGTATTGTATTGGAGTGAAAGATCTGATTTTGTGAAATTGACAATCTGACCTTTTTTTTTGCAAATTCACAAATTACAAGATAAACATGATAAGAATACAATTTATATCTCAAACTAGTCAGGGGGATACGACAGTTCAGCATGTTTCATGTGGACTTAAACTGTCAACTCTTGACCACATAAACATGATCTAGCCTCAGCCAGTGGTCTGCCAAAGTCTGTAAAGAAACGCTTTATGATGTTGATGTTGGTCTTTCTTTGTACAGAATTATCATTTTTCCCACAAAAAGCGCACCATTTGATATTTAGCTTGATTCCAGGTGCTGCTCTTGTCAGTGGAGTTTATGACCTTCGACCTCTCACTAAAACCTATGTCAACGACCCTTTGAAACTTGATGAGTATGTAAATATTTAAAGTGCAAGACTGTTGTATGTGTCTGTGATAGTGTCTTGTCAGTGTCTTTGTCTGTTTCTCTGCGTGTTTCTAAGTGTCTGTGGATTTCAAATTGAACTGTATGTTTCTTTTCCAGTGTCTGTCAGTGTCTTGTCAGTGTCTGTCAGTGTCTGTTAGTGTCTGTCAGTGTCTGTCAGTGTCTGTCAGTGTCTGTCTTGTCAGTGTCTGTCAGTGTCTGTCAGTGTCTTGTCAGCGTCTGTCAGTGTCTGTCAGTGTCTGTCAGTGTCTGTCAGTGTCTTGTCAGTGTCTGTCAGTGTCTGTCAGTGTCTGTCAGTGTCTTGTCAGTGTCTGTCAGTGTCTTGTCAGTGTCTGTCAGTGTCTGTCAGTGTCTGTCAGTGTCTTGTCAGTGTCTGTCAGTGTCTGTCTTGTCAGTGTCTGTCAGTGTCTGTCAGTGTCTTGTCAGTGTCTTGTCAGTGTCTGTCAGTGTCTGTCAGTGTCTGTCAGTGTCTTGTCAGTGTCTGTCAGTGTCTGTCAGTGTCTGTCTTGTCAGTGTCTGTCAGTGTCTTGTCAGTGTCTGTCAGTGTCTTGTCAGTGTCTGTCAGTGTCTTGTCAGTGTCTGTCAGTGTCTGTCAGTGTCTGTCTTGTCAGTGTCTGTCAGTGTCTGTCTTGTCAGTGTCTGTCAGTGTCTTGTCAGTGTCTGTCAGTGTCTGTCAGTGTCTGTCAGTGTCTGTCAGTGTCTGTCAGCGTCTGTCAGCGTCTTGTCAGTGTCTGTCAGTGTCTGTCAGTGTCTGTCAGTGTCTTGTCAGTGTCTTGTCAGTGTCTGTCAGTGTCTTGTCAGTGTCTGTCAGTGTCTTGTCAGTGTCTGTCAGTGTCTGTCAGTGTCTTGTCAGTGTCTGTCAGTGTCTTGTCAGTGTCTGTCAGTGTCTTGTCAGTGTCTGTCAGTGTCTGTCAGTGTCTGTCAGTGTCTTGTCAGTGTCTTGTCAGTGTCTGTCTGTGTCTTGTCAGTGTCTGTCAGTGTCTGTCAGTGTCTTGTCAGTGTCTGTCAGTGTCTTGTCAGTGTCTGTCAGTGTCTTGTCAGTGTCTGTCAGTGTCTGTCAGTGTCTGTCAGTGTCTTGTCAGTGTCTTGTCAGTGTCTGTCAGTGTCTGTCTTGTCAGTGTCTTGTCAGTGTCTGTCTTGTCAGTGTCCTGTCAGTGTCTTGTCAGTGTCTTGTCAGTGTCTGTCAGTGTCTGTCTTGTCAGTGTCTTGTCAGTGTCTGTCAGTGTCTGTCAGTGTCTTGTCAGTGTCTGTCAGTGTCTGTCTTGTCAGTGTCTTGTCAGTGTCTGTCTTGTCAGTGTCTGTCAGTGTCTTGTCAGTGTCTGTCAGTGTCTGTCAGTGTCTGTCTTGTCAGTGTCTTGTCAGTATCTGTCAGTGTCTGTCAGTGTCTGTCAGTGTCTTGTCAGTGTCTGTCAGTGTCTGTCAATGTCTTGTCAGTGTCTGTCTTGTCAGTGTCTTGTCAGTGTCTGTCAGTTTCTGTCTTTTCAGTGTCTTGTCAGTGTCTTGTCAGTGTCTGTCAGTGTCTTGTCAGTGTCTTCTCAGTGTCTGTCAGTGTCTTGTCAGTGTCTGTCAGTGTCTGTCAGTGTCTTGTCAGTGTCTGTCAGTGTCTGTCAGTGTCTTGTCAGTGTCTTGTCAGTGTCTGTCAGTGTCTTGTCAGTGTCTTGTCAGTGTCTTGTCAGTGTCTGTCAGTGTCTGTCAGTGTCTGTCAGTGTCTGTCTTGTCAGTGTCTGTCTTGTCAGTGTCTTGTCAGTATCTGTCAGTGTCTGTCAGTGTCTTGTCAGTGTCTGTCAGTGTCTGTCAGTGTCTGTCAGTGTCTTGTCAGTGTCTTGTCAGTGTCTGTCAGTGTCTTGTCAGTGTCTGTCAGTGTCTTGTCAGTGTCTTATCAGTGTCTGTCTTGTCAGTGTCTGTCTTGTCAGTGTCTGTCAGTGTCTGTCTTGTCAGTGTCTTGTCAGTGTCTGTCAGTGTCTGTCTTGTCAGTGTCTGTCAGTGTCTGTCTTGTCAGTGTCTTGTCAGTGTCTGTCAGTGTCTTGTCAGTGTCTTGTCAGTGTCTGTCAGTGTCTTGTCAGTGTCTGTTTTGTCAGTGTCTTGTCAGTATCTGTCAGTATCTGTCAGTGTCTGTCAGTGTCTTGTCAGTGTCTTGTCAGTGTCTGTCAGTGTCTGTCAGTGTCTGTCAGTGTCTTGTCAGTGTCTTGTCAGTGTCTGTCAGTGTCTGTCAGTGTCTTGTCAGTGTCTGTCAGTGTCTGTCAGTGTCTTGTCAGTGTCTGTCAGTGTCTTGTCAGTGTCTGTCAGTGTCTGTCAGTGTCTTGTCAGTGTCTGTCAGTGTCTTGTCAGTGTCTGTCAGTGTCTGTCAGTGTCTTGTCAGTGTCTGTCAGTGTCTTGTCAGTGTCTTGTCAGTGTCTATCAGTGTCTGTCTTGTCAGTGTCTGTCAGTGTCTGTCTTGTCAGTGTCTTGTCAGTGTCTGTCAGTGTCTGTCTTGTCAGTGTCTTGTCAGTGTCTATCAGTGTCTGTCTTGTCAGTGTCTGTCAGTGTCTGTCTTGTCAGTGTCTTGTCAGTGTCTATCAGTGTCTGTCTTGTCAGTGTCTGTCAGTGTCTGTCTTGTCAGTGTCTTGTCAGTGTCTGTCAGTGTCTGTCAGTGTCTGTCTTGACAGTGTCTTGTCAGTGTCTATCAGTGTCTGTCTTGTCAGTGTCTGTCAGTGTCTGTCTTGTCAGTGTCTTGTCAGTGTCTTGTCAGTGTCTATCAGTGTCTGTCTTGTCAGTGTCTGTCAGTGTCTGTCTTGTCAGTGTCTTGTCAGTGTCTATCAGTGTCTGTCAGTGTCTGTCTTGTCAGTGTCTTGTCAGTGTCTTGTCAGTGTCTGTCAGTGTCTGTCTTGTCAGTGTCTGTCAGTGTCTGTCTTGTCAGTGTCTTGTCAGTGTCTGTCAGTGTCTGTCTTGTCAGTGTCTGTCAGTGTCTGTCTTGTCAGTGTCTGTCAGTGTCTTGTCAGTGTCTGTGTGTTTTACACGTGTGCTTCCTTCTTTCTTTACATGATCAAATGCACTATTTACTAAGTTCTACAAATCAGTGCTGGTTCTGTCAATGCTCATGTTGACAGGGAATAAGTTCTTGGGGGAATCAAGGACAACATTGGCATCAACTAGGGATGGCTAATAAGATTGATAATCAGAATTATCGATGATGGAAAGAAATATTAACAATTATCGATATGAAATTGTTGTCATCTATAATAACTTACTATTGTAATGAAGTAAAGTTTTAGATTTTCCAGAGCAGACCAATTATTGCTAATAATGTAAACTGTCAAAGACAGAAAGCAACTGTTTTTGTTAAATCTCAAATGTCCACAAAGTAATCCATGCATAAATGTGTCACTGCTCACCAGTAGTGTGAAATATTTCTACATCAAACATGGTACATAGATAGGTCTAGTTGTGAACAAGTGCCTTTTGATGGTTTGGGATTTACAAAAAAAATCAAGTTTCCAAAGCAACAACTTTGACTTGGACTGAAAATAGCTGTCTCATTTCCGGAGCAGATCATGAAAATGTTACAATATTACCAAACTTGGCACATAAGTAGGTCTAGTTGTGATTTGGTACCTTTTGATGGTTTGGAATTTTTTAAATTCATATTTTTTAGTTACTTTTTAAACAAGTTTCATGTGTTTATTCAGCACAAGTATTTACCATTGCGGGGGATATTGATGACTTTGTCGTCTTGTTGTTTTTATTGTTGTTATTATTATCTTTAATATTGCCCCAACATGCTGCTGTAGGGATGATGCATGGAGGTTCAGTCCCGCCAACTTCGTCTCGGAGATAGCTGGACTCAGTCAGCAGCGTGATATCCTCATCGCTGTGGCCGAGTATGACCCTCCCGAGTTCCGCAGACAAAGTGCCGATATGGAGAAAGTAGGAAATTATGTTCACACATCAGTCCGTTATTGCACACAGTTAATAAGTTCAGCATATATAGATATGGTTATACCAGTAGCCATACTTGCAGTCATACTTGCCATAAGAGCAGACTGATTTGGTGATCTGGTGGCTATGAAATGTGACCTTGGTTAGTAGGTGTCTCAAATTCCAGATTTGCCCTGATTTTAATCCCTTCTCTGTCAATATCGTACTTTGTGCTCACTCGAGTGGCAAAAGGCTCTATGACCAGCTAGTGACTTAATATTGTTTTTGTTGTAGTCAGGAGCGCGTGGTCGATATAATGAGCAACAAGCCCATCATTGGCATCCATTCTCCCCGTTCACAGATTACTTTTCTCCCTCATAAAAGTGACACATTGTAATATGGCTGAAGTAGGTGAGGTGAACTGGGTTTTCTTGTTCAAGACTATTACACCTATATAGCGACGTGCGTGTGTGCGTGTGTGCGTGCATGCATGCATGCGTCTGCTTGTACTAGTCCAGACTGATGCCGATATATAGTGCTAGCTCACTGAGATACCATGCCACAGTTTAACATGAATACCCCACTCAGACACAGTATACTGACTCTGAGACGACCAGTGCTTGTTTTAGCCACAGGTTGTAGGGTGAAGGTGAAGGTTGCACGAAGAAGTATGAAGGTTGTTGGTTAAGCCAGAGAGCCATGAATCATGGATGCTGACAGAGTAGGCCATGGATGATAATCAGGGTGAATCAAGGATTTGAATCCACTACCAGCAGATCCTGACACAGCTAAGGGATGCGACTATGAACAGAGTCACAATTATACAACTGGGCCGACATGCTTCTGACAAAAATGTGGACCAGGTCATTGTAATTAATCTGTGAACGGGGAGAATGTGTGCTAATGATAGGTTGTTGCTCATTATATCGACCACTCACTCCTGACTGCAACAAAAAAAATATTAAGTCACTAGCTGACTTAGTCTAAGATATAATCCCAATAAGGCCATTGTGAGTGAATGAACTACAAACAGAAGGTTCTGGAAATGTGGTCCTGGTTCATACCACTGGTTTCAGGAGGGGGTCGGGTAGCCTAGTGGTTAAAGCGTTCGCTCATCACACCGAAGGCCCGGGTTCGATTCTAGACATGGGTAAAATGTGTGAAGCCCATTTCTTGTGTTCCCCGCCATGATATTTCTAGACTATTGTTAAAAGCAGCATAAAACCTCACTCACTCACTCACTCACTCACTCACTCACCCAACCCACTCACTCACTCACTCACTCACTCACTCACTCACTCACTCACTCACTCACTCGACGGTTTCAGGATCTGTCATCCAGGAAGGTGAAGACGCGGTACATGGACATCAGCGATACTGATCACTTTGATGTCATCGAAAAATTACAGAAGGATTCTTACAGCCTCACAAAGGTAATAGCGTAAACTTTTTATATCTTTTCGCGAAGTTTGTAATTATTTGTATCACATGATGTCTCTGTTAATTGAGGAGACCACGTCAAAAGTTCCATGTCAGATAAAAAAAGTAATTCCTTAAGTTTTGTAACATAACTCCTGCTCAAAAAAATAACTCCAGGCTAAAAACAATAATAGTCGTGGTTCTCAGGCACCGACCGCATCATCATAAAGTCTGCTGCAGGTTTCGTTTTTAATTTTATTTATAAAAAAATAAATAATATCTTTAAATGTTATGAGTCTCGAACACACGACCCTGGCAATGATATGCTTAAAAATATTACATTGCTCAAAAAAGTACCTTAAAAAATTGGATTACATACAAGCTTGAACAACCAAAAAACACACGGCACTATATTTTCAAAAGCGATTGCCTGAGAACCAATTCTGTCTTTTTAAGCCTTATTCTGAAAACTTTAATTCCTGAGTTTTAGTAGCCTATCACAGAAAGAATTTTGATTTTTATCTGAGGTCAAACTGATGAACTAGCCCCATAATAACGCAGGTTGAGGTATGGGGATCGCATGGTGTTTTTTTGTATTCTGTAAGTGTCAGATGGATGCTATTTAATGAGTATACTATTATATATTTGACTATGGTAATTATTCCCAATGACAGCTCTATTTTGTTTGTTTTGGTAGTGGGGTAGCCGTTGGCTCATCACACTAAAGGGCTGGGTTCTATTCCAAACATGGAAAACTCACTCACTTATCAATTGTTAACGCTAATTTTTTATCAGTGACCCTTAGTATGGACATTGAAGATATATCCCCATCACCCTGAGGTGAGCTGAGTTAGAGTTAACTGACTATAAAAGTCTAGTTTCCACCCTTGCTGAACGAGGCTGGAACTTCTGGGCTTGTTTGTAGCGTCACCAGTGGCTATTACGAGTTATGTCCCTTCTATGTCCCTCCTACTGACGAATCGGCGGCACGGGTGGCCCAGTCGTCTAAGGCGCCGCGATTCGCTGTGCAGAGTTGCGTCCCTTGGGCACGCCAGAAACCTATGATTGTGGGTTCAAATCCTGGTTCACCCTGATTATTATCCCCCGCCGCGCGAAAGCGCGAAGCGGGGGATATAGTATTCACGACCGTCCGTCCGTCCGTACGTCCCACCTGTTTGTTGCCGCGATATCTCAAGAACTAAACACTGGATTGTCTTCATATTTGGAACTATGGTGTATATACAGACTCCGCAGACACCAGTCGGTTTTGGTGACCTTGATCCCATTTTCAAGGTCACAGCAGACAAATCTGCTTTTAGAGTTGGAAAACGGTGTTGCCGCGATATCTCAAGAACTAAACACTGGATTGTCTTCATATTTGGAACTATGGTGTATATACAGACTCCGCAGACACCAGTCGGTTTTGGTGACCTTGATCCCATTTTCAAGGTCACAGCAGACAAATCTGCTTTTAGAGTTGGAAAACGGTGTTGCCGCGATATCTCAAGAACTAAACACTGGATTGTCTTCATATTTGGAACTATGGTGTATATACAGACACCGCAGACACCAGTCGGTTTTGGTGACCTTGACCCCATTTTCAAGGTCACAGCAGGCAAATCTGCTTTTGGAGTTGGAAAACGGTGTTGCCGCGATATCTCAAGAACTAAACACTGGATTGTCTTCATATTTGGAACTATAGTGTATATACAGACTCCGCAGACACCAGTCGGTTTTGGTGACCTTGATCCCATTTTCAAGGTCACAGCAGGCAAATCTGCTTTTAGAGTTGGAAAACGGTGTTGCCGCGATATCTCAAGAACTAAACCTCTCGATTGTCTTCATATTTGGAACTATGGTGTATATACAGACACCACAGACACCAGTCGGTTTTGGTGACCTTGACCCCATTTTCAAGGTCACAGCAGGCAAATCTGCTTTTGGAGTTGGAAAACGGTGTTGCCGCGATATCTCAAGAACTAATCGCTGGATTGTCTTCATATTTGGAACTATAGTGTATATACAGACACCGCATACACCTGTCAGATTTGGTGACCTTGACCCCATTTTCAAGGTCACAGCAGGCAAATCTGTTTTTGGAGTTGGAAAACGGTGTTGCCACAATATCTCAAGAACTAATCGCTAGATTGTCTTCATATTTGGTACTATGGTGTATATGGCGGGGGATATTTCGTCACTCTGTGACAAATACTTGTATTTCTAGGTTTGACAGTACCATGCCCATGCTCGTGGGTTTCACCGAAGTGGTAAACATCTGAGACCTGCATCACTTGTGGCTTTCCTCTCACATTAAGCTGACACGCCGTGATATAACTGGAATACTGTTAAAAGCAGCGTTAAACCCACCTCACTCACTCACTACTGACCAATCAGATTCTACCAATCAAATCACTTGCATTTGCTTTAAACAAAATGGCGGCACCCAGTCAAGACAATCTGAATAATAAATCAAAATCAAAGCCTATATTGTAATAAAACAGATCTTACTTCGCGAAGTGCATCAAATCATGTGAGCGCCTTGATTAAAATCATGAATTTTTTTGGAAAATATCTATTGGTGCCGAGTTGGTAGTACACATGCTTTGCAAATCCTGCAATCGACTGAAATCTGCACATCAGTTTACGAACCAGATGTTGATTTTGTTACATATGATTTGGATTGGACTTTCAATAGAGTTAGTCAAGCTACTTGGCATGACAGATTTAAAACAGTACTATCAAAGAATCGCGTTGTCCTTGAAGGGTCAGTACGTCAATGGTTCTGTGTGTTTTATATCATGTTTGAAATAATTTCCGATTCATTTCTCAAACCGAAACAATTGAGATCTGCACAGTGACAGCGAAGCCGACAAAGCAAGCGTTGTGCAGAGTAAACTGGCTTCAGTCGTGTTTTCATTGGGGGCAAACTGAAGGGAAAGCTTGTTTTTCATTTACAGATGAATTACAAAATACTAATTCGCAGCTTGATTCCATTAGAAGCCAGTGTTTATGAAAGCCTAGATTACAGCATAACATGCCTCGGTTGTATGAAGCCAATCGCTTTCCTACCCAGAGTTCCAGTCTAGTACCTACCTCTGTCACATCATTACATCTTATATACTCCATTCAAAAAAGGTGAGCAGAGCTAGTTATCGGCTATTGTTTACGAACATAGCTGGTCCACATCCTGCGCCAACATTATTGTTTGTGGTTGTTATAATGGCATGTCGCCAGAGTTATCTCCCTTGTCCCACCTCTGTACTGGCTCCCTCCCAGCGCGTGACACCTTCGTTACACTCTCGGTAACATCGCTGCCACCAGTGTGGATGCGGCCATTACAAGAATCTTGAAATCTTGAAATTTGCCCTCAAACCCCAAATGTAGTAATGTTTATACTTTTGTTTATGTCTTTGGGAATGCCATCATATTTCATTTTGAAAAGGTTTACGACTGACCATGTTTTCCAGATGAATTTACTTCGTTGTTTTAATAATCAGATTGGTTCGACATTGCACACTAATGGAAAATCAACCAACTTCTCCCTTACATTCTTACTATATCAATAACATGATAGTTTTAATGAAACAGAAATTCAAATTGACAAACAAGGAAAGTAATTTAGCAGCTATATGTGTATTAGGCGTCACGATAGTCATCACTTGTTTGTAAACATAACGGTTATTCGGTTGCGAGTTCAACTCCAAGCATGGTTGTGGCCACCTGTCACTGTGGGGAGTTATGACTGGTGGCAGTGATAGTATAGAGAGCTCCACTAACAGGCTATCGCTGTGAGGAGCTTAAGCTCTGCAATGTCTGCCATAAAACACTGAAGCCTTACAAGGGTGTTCATGGTGTGTAGGTATCGCATTGGATGATAGTAACGGTTTAACTGGTACTGTCCATTTTTTGGGGTAGTATACAAAGTCACATCTTCCCGAGGCAAGAGAGTTAACTGACTTTAAAAGTCCAGTTTCCACCCTTGCCGAACTAGGCTGGAATTCCTGGGCTCAATCGTAACGCCACCAGTGACTATTACGAGTTATGTCCTTTCTATGCCTCTCCTATGAACCAATCAGATTTAACCTCTCGTATCACTTGCATTTGCTTCAAACAAAACGGTGGCACCCAGTCAAGACAATCTGATCGATAATCAAGATCTATATTGTGATAAAACGAGTCTTACATTGCGAAGGGCATCAAATCACATGAGCACCTTGATTAAAAACATGAAAAGATTTAGAAAATAACTGTTGACAACGAGTTAGCGGTGCACATGCTTTGCAAATCCTGCAGTCGACCGAAATCTGCATGACACTTTATGAACCAGATTTCGATTTCGGTGCGGGATTTTGATTGGACTATGCATAGACTCGTTAGTCCAGCCAAAATGTAACTCCATAATACCAGCCTAGTTCGGCAAGGGTGGAAACTAGACTTTTATAGTCAGTTAACTCGCTTGCCTCGGGAAGATGACAAAGTCACGGACTGGGAGAAAAGGACTGTTCTTTAGAATCATGGCACTTTCAGTGATACCGGGCTGCTTGGGGCACTGTCATGTTGTTCAACTCATTTCAGAACATCCTCATCATTTCAGGAAATACTACGACTCATGAAGCTGTCATAGGAGCCTGATTCTGGGGAGATAGCTTTGTCTGACAACAGCTGCCATCAATCCAAGATCACCATGGTTACCAGTCATGATGGCAGTTGATGTTCTCATAACCAAATACCTCCCTGAAGACTTGAAGACCTGAAGACCTGACCAGTTGCATGGAGAGGTCATGTGAATTATGAGAAATTGGAAAGAAATGTACTGTACAGTAAACTACGGTTATAACGAACTCAAAGGGACCACTAATTTTAGTTCGTTATTACCGTTGTTCGTTGTAAGCATCTATACAACATATATACAGCAAATGGACAAGACCAAAAAATAGGTTTGTTATATCCGTCTGTTAGTTATAAATGTGTTCGTTATACTAGTAGTTTACTGTATTTTCAGATAAATGGGATATATTAAAAAACAATCTGGTTGTGTGACCATTCTTTCCCCCTTTCCATGTGAGTTGGTGATTGATGGCTGCAGTTTTGTTGATGGTTGTTGCAATAACTGGAGCAACTCAAGCCTATCTAGGTAAACAATTCTGCATGTGAAACATGCAGAGTTGCGTCCCTTAGGTGTTCCTGGATCCTGTGCTTATTGGTCTGAAAATCCCAGATTTGCACTGATTTTGATCTTTGGTCTGTTAGCACCATACTCTTGCTGGTGAATTTCACCATCGTTGTAAATATCTACTATCTGCATTACTTGGGATAGCCTCCCACATGAAACATATAGATGAAATACTGTTCAAAGCGCTGTTGAACCTCACTCACTCACTCACTCACTCACTCACTCACTCACTCTCACACACACACACACACACACACACCATGATTTTAACTAGAATACTGTTCAAAGCGGTAATAACTCACTCACTCTCTCACTAGTATAAGGACCTGTGAAGATCTGGCATAGAATAGTTCTTCAGCGACCCAGGCTTGGTGTAAAACGCCACTTTGCTTGTCGTAAGAGGCAACTAAAGGAATCGGGTGGTAAGCCGCACTGACTTGGTTGATGCATGTCATTGATCCTAATTGCATGGATCGATGCTCACGATGTCAATCACTGGATTGTCTGGTCCAGACTCAATTATTTACAGACCGCCGTCATATAGGTGGAATATTGCTATGTGCGGCGTTAAACAACAAACAAACAAACACTTTTATATGACAATGACAAGAAACCTTTTGTATTCATATTTATATGCTAATGTTAATATGTTTAATGGTTATGAATGACTTATAGTCAGAATTTGGGAACATATTTTATAATTAGTTGTATTTAATCAATGATTGTGATTACCCTATTTCTTATCAAGTGCCTTATAATAAGGTAACCTCTTTGTTACATTGAACATTTTATCACTGGAGGCACCATTATGTAGATGTTTAATGATATCCATAATATTCATGTTTTATAATTGTGTGCATTGTTTATTAACAAGTGTATTATATCGCTATGATATTGTGATAAATATATACCCTGGACCTGTTCAATACCATTTGGGAATTGACGTCACCATCGCCATGTTTCATCAATATCTTTCCACAAAAAGTCACATCAGTTAAATTTGATTGAATGACATATTTTAGCATTGTGTCATTCACGTCAGACAGAAACAAAGATATGAATGGGTCCAGGATATTGGCCGAAACAAAATCTAATACCCTTGATAGTAGAGGATTGTTAGTGATGGTACCATGGTATTGTTTTTATTCTAGGGGAAAATCGGAAGATGGTGCATGTTTAGATTTACTGTTAACCTATTGGATAGGGTTGGTGGTGGGTTCAGGGATACTCTGAAGTGTTTATTTGGTGACAGCATCCACGCATGTAGATAGGGTATTTAGAGATTAAGGCTGTGTTCTGTGAGTTTTTGTTCACCAAAATGACCATTTTTCCAAGGCAAGGGTGTTAACTGACTATAAAAGTCCAGTTGTTGCCCTTGCCTAATTAGGCTGCAATTCCAGAGTTGCATTTTGGCTTGACTGACGAGTCGGTGCATAGTCCAATCAAGACAATCTAACGAACTAGACATTCAGTTCATAAACAACATGGATTTCAACGTGCAGATTTCAGTCGACTGCAGGATTGGTAATGCAGGCAAAGCATATTTTCCAAATATTTCCATGTTTTTCATCAAGGTGCTGTAGTCATTTGATGCACTTGTGAAGTGAGACCCGTTTTATTACAATATAGATCTTGATTACCAACCAGATTGTCTTGACTGGGTGCTGCCATTTTGTCCGAAGCAAATGCTTGTGATAAGAGAGATGAAATCTGATTGGTCAATAGGAGGGACATAAAGGGGACATAATTTGTAATACCAACTGGTGGTGCTACGATCGAGCCTGGAAATTCCAGCCTAGTTCGGCAAAGATGGACACTGGACTTTTAGGGTCAGTTAACACCCATGCCTCGGGAAGATGCGAAATGACAATTGGCACAGCGCTGATGTTAGAATGTAAACTTAAGTTTCTGTGTACTGATATTTTATGGACGTTTTATTTGCACTGTTATATGCTTCACTAATCTTATACATGCATGTTAACCGGAAATGATGATCAGAATTAACTGCCCCTGATGTTTGAATATATTTGTCTGTTGACATTCATGCATCGTCGATGTCAGACATGTGTACGGCTCTGTTAATAAATCTTTATCCAATGAAAGTAGTTGAAGCTGCTATCAAACAAACGGTTACCACTATGGCGAATTCAGCAGCTGAACAGGATTAATTGCAATTCACTCAGTACAGTCATGGGAATGTGACTTTCTTTTTAATGTAATGAATTTGTTCATTTATTTTTGTTTGTAACTTTAAAACATCAAGTGATACTTGTACAGATATTTGGTAGAGCGTCCGCCCGGAGAACATAAATATTGTTCAAAGCGGCTAAGCCCCACACATTAATTCCCTCTATAATGTCAGATTACAATGGTTGAAAGCAAATTATACACATCTATGCGATTATTTTATTACTTATTATCTTGTAACAATATTTAACCTTAGCGTTTGATAAATCGGACCCGGAACTTTATAATCACCACAAACCCCGCGTCTGCCTATTGAAACTTTTGAATCAATTGCGACGCGTACCCAAGTTTACAATGATGAGAAAAACACTTCCCTGCATCAATTGTGTTGCCACTCGTATAACTTTATTTTCGTCCTGGCTTATACAGATTGTAACTATTGTTTTCCATTCCATTATGATAAATACCCTCGATCCGATTCGCTAACCTAGTTTCGTTTTGAATCCGACACCAATGGCAAGGTGCTCAATAATGGCCGGCCAATCAAATTACACTCACGTTAGTTACAGTAACGTTCCTTTCAAGCAAATGACGATGGTGACGTCACGTCGTAAACGAAGCAGCTTTTAGGTCCATGTGTTTATCATAATAAAACTGAGGTAAAATACACCGAACAAAAGATGATCCCACATTTCAGGTAACAGTACAAATACTTCCTGGTCACTCACTATTGGGTGATATAGTACATTTTTCCTTATAAACATTTGTATAGAATCGTCGGATCATAGGCTTTTGGCTCTCAACGTTTTCAGACGGCCATGTGTATCGCGATTACTCGCGCTGTTATAAGAGGTGTGGCGTCACACATACATTGTAAATATCCAGATGGTGGCTTCTTTTTTAGATAAAGTTGTCTTTTATAAGTGAGTGAGATGGTTTACAGTTGTTCATGTGATTAGCGAGAAAACTACGACTGTTTCTAAAGCGTCTGGGGGCACGGTGGGCCCAGTCGCTGCTCAGAGTTGCGTCCCTTGGACACGCCAGAAACCTACGATTGTGGGTTTCAATCCGGGTCGCCCCGATTATGTTTCTAGGTTTGTCAGCACCATACCCGTGCTCGAGGGTTTCACCGAAGTGGTAATCGTCTCAGACCTGCATCACTTCGGGCTTTCCTCCCGCATTAAGCTGACACACCGTGATATAACTTTAATACTGTTAAAAGCGGCGTTAGACACAACTCACTCACTCCTAAGCGTCTGAAAACCCATAACACGGGGATACATACATTAAGCGCTCAGGGAAGGGGTTGAGCAACAACCAGCCTCCTTGTGGAAATTTGTGTATAACTTATATATGGGAAAACTTGGTGGGTTGGGAGCTGCTCCTACCGGCCTGAGCTAAAACGGTGAATACGATTTCGGGAACGTGGACGAAAACTGAAGGACTAGATCGTTTACGATCGAGGCCGACTATTACAATATCCATGGCGGACAAGGCTTAATATGACAAAATCCAGCACCGAAGTTCTATCTAAATTTAGGACCTTAATCCTCTTAATGAGCAACGTCAATAAATTCCCTGAGTAAATAACTTATGAAGAAACGTATGTTTCTTGCAACTGAAATATAAATACTCCCAGTGTCTGATGACGACTAGACAAACACATTTATCACACCACCATGTCAGAATGATGAGTTATGTTTGGTAACGTGATCTTGATAAAATACGTTGTATCCCGCTATGGAGAGAAATACATTTCTCAGTGGGAGAATAAATCCTTATACCCCGCCACGAGCAAGACACGCTGCACGTGGATTTCTGAGGCAGAATTAATCCCCAAAACCCAGCTTCGAAGCAAAGAGCCGCACGCTTTTTCCGAGTCAATAAAAGTCACGTGACATAGCACAAGGTAACCTCCGAATTTTGAATTTTCGAATTTGTTTTTATCCTTTTACTATATCATAATAAAACATTTCGGTAAGAGGAAAAGGAAAAAGGAAAAATCGGGGTGCTTAGGGTTTAATGGGTTTTAACCTATTGAGGCATAATACCCCATGTACCCCTCGTGACCCTAGGGGTCTCATTAACCCAAACCTCGTGTGTGATACATGCAGAGCCGCTAAATACCTCACAGTGAGGGGGGACAGCCTCCGTGGTCTAGTGGTAGAGCGGAAGGTCCGGAGTTCAATCCCCGGCCGCGTCATACCAAAAAACGTTGAAACATGGTACTTGGTGTTACCCTGTCTTGCGCTCGGCATTTAGGGGCTGAAACAAGGAGAGGTCGGCTCGGAGTCAGTATACTGTGTCTCATTTCGGGTTTTCATGTTAAACTGCGGCATGGTATCTCAGTGGGCTAGCTAGCACTATAAATCCTTTCAGTGAATGAGACAAACAGCTGGGCATGCCTCTTGTCACGCACAACATACGAGACCCGTGACAGCATCGACAGGGCTATGGCTCTTCAGCCCAGGGTATACTTAATTGACTTCCATACCTTTTGCATTCACGGAGGTATAAAATAAAAACCTGTTTGCACACTGTGTACAACCTTAAATATAACAACATCTGCACAGCTTAAACAACAGCAGGTCTGGTATGTAACATATTATTGTTTACTTATAGCGGATTTGCTGAAAGTGTACACACGGTTTTGACGTTATCAACGTCAACAATAACGTCACATACTTCCTATTTAATCATTATACCAAGTGTGAAGCCCATTTCTTGTGTCCCCCGCTGTGATATTGCTGGAATATTGCTAAAAGCGGCGTAAAACCATACTCACTCACTCACTCACTCACTCACTCACTCACTATTTAATCATTAACACTGTAGAGTGAGTGAGTGAGATTGGTTTAACGCCTCTTTTAACAGTATTACAGTTATATCGCGGCGTGTCAGCTTAATGTGGGAGGAAAGCCCGAAGTGATGCAGATCCCAGCCGATTACCACTTCGGTGAAAGCCACGAGCACGGGTATAGTGCTGACAAACCTAGAAACATGATCGGGGCGAACCGGGATTCGAACCCACAAGTTTCTGGCGTACCCAAGGGACGCAACTCTGCACAGCGAAGCGCGGCACCTTAGACGACTGGGCCACCCGTGCCCCCAAATACTGTAGACAATACGAAATCAATGACATCTGCGTTATAATGCAGCATAGGGGCGGTCGGGAAGCCTAGTGGTTAAAGCGTTCGCTCGTCACGCCGAAGACCTTGGTTCGCTTCCCGACACGGATACAATGTATGAAGCCCATTTCTGGTGTCCCCCGCCGTGAAATTGCTGGAATATTGCTAAAACCGGCGTAAAACCATACTCACTCACTCACTCACTCACTCACTCACTCACTCACTCACTCACTCACTCACTCACCACTCACTCACTCACTCACTCACTATAATGCAACATAAGCCTCAGGAAACAGTTGCCCGCTAGTTACCGTGGTCTAATTTTGTTTTCGGTTTACGGAAAAAACGCAAAATAACATTGCATGGTTAGCCAATAAAATGCCAAGGATAAACTGGCAATGTATTTATGTCCTGGTAAGCAGCCCGCTCATCGCAATAAGACAGTTAAGTATATAATTCTATGCAACAGTGGTGGTTTCCCTGTTCAGAGACCATGGAGACACGATATCAAAAGCTTTGGAGTTTTACCCGTCACTCTCGTACCGGCACCATGGGGAGTGGACGTGTGGTGAGAATGGGTTCTGTTGCTGCTGCAGGATCTCTCCTCATGTGTTGTGTGCTGTCGTCCTACGTGGCTGGTAAGACATGACTTACTGCTACTCTTGCTAATTCCCTTTGTGTTCAGTCCGGATAGTCATTAATTCAAAAAGAATGTATCGACTATGGTTCGGGTGTTGTATACCGGCGTTGTTGTGGACTGTTTCTGCTAGTTGTGCTTGTGGTATGTTAGTGTTGTCGGGTGTAAGTGTTCGGGTGTTGTATACCGGCGTTGTTGTGGACTGTTTCTGCTAGTTGTGCTTGTGGTATGTTGGTGTTGTCGGGTGTAAGTGTTCGGGTGTTGTAGACGGGGGTTGTTGTGGACTGTTTCTGCTAGTTGTGCTTGTGGTATGTTGGCGTTGTCGGGTGTAAGTGTTCGGATGTTGTAGATGGTGGAGGATGATTGGTTCTAGCGTTGTGGAATGAGAGTGCTTTGGAGGTTGGTGGAAACGTTTTTAGTCTCATCAATGACGTCAACATTAACCATATTTAATAACCATAGCAAGTAGTATAATTAATCTTCATGCCCAAGTACGTAGATGTCGACCTCTAAAGATCCGGGTTAAAATTGGTCCTCTGCACCCCATGCTTGCCGGTAAGGGCAACTTATGCTTGTCCGTAAGAGGCGACTAACGGGATCGGGTGGTCAGGCTTGCTGATTTAGTTGACTTCATCGTATCCCAATTGCGTAGATCGATGGTCAAGATGTTAATCACTGGATTGTTTGATCCAGACTCGATTATTTACAGACCGCCGTCATAAAGCTGGAATATTGCTGAGTGCGGCGTTAAACAACAAACAAACAACCAAATAAATCAGAACGTATTTTGAAATTAAGTAGTTAATTTTTTTAAGGTACAGACTATTTGATGACATCCTCAAACGCCGACTTCAGTATCCATGCTGTATCTGGGAGGCAGGGAGGTTTCTACTCCATCACCTACCCCGGCCAGCGTCCACTGGAGAATTCAATACCCCCATGGTCTGCACACACCAGAGACGTTGATTCCAGCATGGCAGTGGCATCAGGAACTGAGGACAAATCCTTCAGGGTCAGCATCAGTGACAGCACCACCATGAGAGTGTACGGCCGTGATGCCTACGACGCCTACACCCCGCTCCCTCTCCCCGCCCTGGGACAACACTACGTGTTCTCTAACTGCCATGACGCTGACGCAAACATGACCACGGTGTTAGTAGTAGCTACATACAGACACAACACAAAGGTTGATATCACCTTTAAAGTACAGACGAATATCACCGTTAGCGGCTTAACGTATAACAATGAAGATGTTCTTAGTCTGAACTTGGATCAGAATCAGACATATACGTTAGACAGTGATGCTGCCCTCACCGGGACGCGGATCACCTCGGAGGATCCAATAGCTGTTTATGCAGGGACAAGGTTCGAGGGGATAATTGCTACGTATGACCAACTCTTACCCGTCAAACATCTTGGTCAGGATTACGTCATTCCACGGAGTGACAATGTGAACCAAAATACTGTGATATTCACAAGTGTGATGAATGCGACCGGCATCCAAATTAACGGAGGAGGACTTTCTTTAACATTTACGGGGTCACTTTCCCTTGGGGGCTTCTATGTTGATGGTGCGATGGTTGTCAATGCATCCCAGCCGGTTCTTGTGATGCTGTGTAGATGGGGTGAGCTAACTACGAGAGGGTTTGGTGTCGTTCCGCCAATATCACTTCTGCAAAGGGAAACGTATTTAGCCCTAGATGGAGTGTCTTTGAAGGTTGTAGCACGGGGCAATACAGGTGATGCTGCAGCGACTGCACCTGGAGTTAGTTTGTCAGTTCAGTGGGGAGAGGGTCAAAGTTCAAATTATAGTATTGGTACATTGAACCCACCTTCAATGTCATCCTCCTCGTTTTCCATCAAGTCAACAAGTGGATTGGCGGTGTACGTCTTCTCTGAGACCCATCTTTACACCGGGGGCTATCACTTCCCCTTTGAAGACACACAAACTACGCCAGCTTCTTCATCAGCTGTACCTTCGTCAGTACCATCACTGGCTGACACAACATCATCGATCTCCCCCACACCGACCATATCCGTCGACACAACAACGCCGATCTCATCCGTCGACACAACAACGCTGTTCTCGTCCGCAGACACATCAACGCCGATCTCATCCGTCGACACAACAACGCCCATCTCATCCGTCGACACAACAACGCCCATCTCATCCGTCGACACAACAACGCATATCTCCTCCACAGACACAACGCCGATCTCCTCCGTCGACACAACAACGCCGATGTCCTCCGTCGACACAGCAACGCAGATCTCCTCCCTCGACACAACAACGCCGATCTCCTCCCTCGACACAACAACGCCGATCTCCTCCCTCGACACAACAACGCCGATCTCATCCACAGACACACTATGGCCATTAGTAACGTCAAAAACAACAGGTAAAATAATCTCAAGTATGAACAAACAAATACACGAACATTCCTAAAGACACGATGTTGCCTTGAATGGAAAAATGACAAAATCGGCCTTTTTTATAAAATGAAACATTATAAGTTGCATCAGGATCACAGCACAGGGGGTACATGGGGTGTTATGCGTCCCTCGTTAGGCGAGTGGTATATAAAACCTCACGAGGAACGCATAAAACAACCATGTACCCCGAGTGATCCTGCTACAACAATTTATCATACCCACATGTTTTAATATGACATTGTACAAGAATTAAAACAAGTTCAAAACTGATAGAAAGCAGCTGTTCGATTGAGCTGAGGTTAACCTGTGCTATGTCATGTGACTTTCATATATAGACTTAAAGCGTAAGGCGTTTTACTTCGAAGCGGGGTATAAGGGATCCCTTTTTCTGCGTCTCAGAAATGCACGTGCTCGTGGCGGGGTATAAGGGCTTTATTCTCCCGCTGAGAAATTCATTTCCCTCCAAGGCGGGATACATTCTGACATGGGGGTATGATAAAGTATATTATCGAGATCACCTGGACCAGTCAGATCTCATCATTATGACATTGAGGTATGATTAACAGATCTGTGACACGATACAAATAGGTTCCATATGTCAAATATGAAGCAAGACTCCTGGACATAATCTCTAAAATCAGTTGTTCTCAAGTTGCAAACTACGAAAAGGGTCACAAATGTGTATCAGTTAATATAATGAACTTAGCCATTATTGCCGGGTGAGAAATGGAGAGCGATAAGTGAGAGACTGGTGTCGCATTGTTGTGTTCCGCGCGCGCGTGTGTGGGGTGTGTGTGTGCAAATGCGTGTGTGTGTGTGCGTGCGCGTGTATGCGTGCGTTGTGCGCAGATGCACGTACGTTACATGTTACGCTATACCGCCTGTCCACAGCGGTCACAGCACGACTATTTATTCTTCACAGATTCTATGCGCATAGAACACGCTGGCTCACATAAACGGCTTCGTTATTTATTTATTAATCTCTAAATGACAATTGTTTCCATTCATCATAGTAGTTTTATTTTATTGTTTCTTCTTTTTATTATTATATCTCTTTCTGTTTGCTTCTTTTGTGAGTTTAGTTTTGGCATAATCCCTTTGATAATTTAACTTATTCGTTTGGCGGTTCGCCCCGATTATGTTTCTAGGTTTGTCAGCACCATACCCGTGCCCGTGGGTTTCACCGAGGTGGCAAACGTCTGAGACCTGCATCACTTCGGGCTTTCCTCCCACATTAAGCTGACACGCCGTGATATAACTGTAATACTGTTAAAAGCGGCGTAAAAACCGAACTCACTCAATTATTCGTTTGGATGAGATTATACATTTTTTTCACTTAATTTCATAAGTTGTTTCTTACCATTACATATGCCTGGGGCAGTGAGGTAGCCTAGTGGTTAAAGAGACCCGGTTCGATTACCCACATGGATACAATGTGTGAAGCCCATTTCAGGTGTCCCCCGCCGTCATATTGCTGGAATGTTGCTAAAAGCGGCGTAAAACCATACTCACTCACTCATTCACTTTACACCTGACCATTTATGAATTTGCTTTGCTATTGATTTCGCCTTAGTATAATTGTCATGACTCATTCTTCTTCTGTTTTTTACACAAATGTTAACACAATCGCTGTAATATCTTGATGGGCGGTCGGGTAGCCTAGTGGTTAAAGCGTTCGCTCGTCACGCCAAAGACCCGGGTTCGATTCCCGACATGGGTACAATGTGTGAAGCCCATTTCTGGTGCCCCCCGCCGTGATATTGCTGGAATATTGCTAAAAGCGGCGTAAAACCATATCTACTCACTCGCTAATATCTTGCTGCACATATATCGCATGTAAATTTGTAAGACATTTTCAACAGCCTTCTGTCTTCCTTGACTGTACACTTTTCTATCATGAGGGATAGCTATTACCGTTCATCTTCGTTAAAGGATATTTTCAGAAATGTCAGAGCTCGTTTAATTTTTGTCTTTTTTTAAGAGAAATATGATTATTTGTTACATTTTGAAAATATGAATTGTTTAAAATAGTGTGATGTTATCATCGAGTGCCACTCGGGGGATTAAAGTGGTATGAAATAATTGTCCCCCGACAGTTTGCAGTGTTTAATATCATGATCAACTTGTGTTTTAATGCCTTGATCGTTCTCTGTGTTTTTAATACTGGTTTCCATTTCGTACAAACGCTGGTGACCAAAGTGATGACATAAATCCTGCTGGGGAATCATGCAGAAGGCTGAAGCACTTTAAGACCCCATGATCCCAAGTACGTTGTCCAGCATTGTTTACTAATGATCTATGACCTTGTTTTAATTTATACTAACATACTGAACAATTATGTGTTTTAATTTTGTTGTTAAACTGTGATACTTACCCTTCTGTTTTACCGTCCTTTGTCGACAGGCATTTAATGATACTAATTATCTTCTCATCGCGATATGGCTGCAATGGCTGATGATATGTAAAATTTAACTTATTCACTCACTCACTCATCACGTATGGCAGAGTTGCATCCCTTGGGCAAGCCAGAAACCTATGATTGTGGGTTCGAATCCCGGTTCGCCCCGATTATGTTTCTAGGTTTGTCAGCACCATACCCGTGCTTGTGGGTTTCACCGAAGTGGTAAACGTCTGAGAACGGCTCTTTGGGCTTTCCTCCCACATTAAGCTGACACGCCGTGATATACATGTAAGTGGAATACTGTTAAAAGCGGCGTTAAACCCATCTCACTCACTCACTCACTCTTACAGTCTCTCTTATGGTACCAGTTACGGTGCCACTTACGGTCTTACTTGTGGCACTGTTTATTGTTGATTGTGATCTTGTTCACTTTTAAAGTGAGTGAGTTAGTTGGGTTTAACGCCGCTTTTAACAGTATTCCAGTTATATCACGGCGGGTCAGCTTAATGTGGGAGGAAAGCCCGAAGTGATGCAGGTCTCAGACGTTTACCAATTCAGTGAAACCCACGAGCACGGGTATGGTGCTGATAAACCTAGAAACATAATCGGGGCGAACCGGGATTCGAACCCAAAATCATAGGTTTCTGGCGTGCCCAAGGGACGCGTCTCTGCACAGCGAATCGCGGCGCCTTAGACGACTGGGCAACCCGTGCCCTCTCATTTTTAAAGCGCATTAGGTATTACGGGTTTTCAATCATTATTGTCTTTTGTTCCTACGAGCAGGTTTCTGTAATGAAGAACAAACAATGCAGCTGGTCTTCAAAGATGACAATACGACACATCCCATTCACCAAAATGGGTAAGACAAGTATTATACGGGTATCTACGAATACCTAATGGTGCCACTTTGGTAGCATTCTTTTTTTATATTGAAACGTCTCGTCACTTTGATTTTTATCTCGTTATTTCGGTTATATTCTCCTTATTTCAAGTTTATCTCAAAAACTCAAAATTTCGAGAAAATAATTGAAATAACGATAGAAAAAGTCAAAATACGAGAAAAACTCGAAGTAACGTGAAAGAACTCGTAATTTCGAGAACATAATTGAAACAACGAGAAATTTCGATTTAGGAAATATAAACTTATGCTACCAAAGTGGCACCATTAGGCTTTCGTAGGTATCAACTTTGTAGAGAGGACATTTCAGCAATTGTATTTAGCCTTATTCAATGATAGGGTTGACCTACATGTGTTGAATTCTGTTGAATCCTCCGCAGAGACATAAAATGATCAACGCCGATCTCCCCCGCATTCACGACGTCGATCTCAACCGCAGACACATCAGCGCCGATCTCCTCCGCAGAGACATCAACGCCGATCTCCCCCGAAGACACATCAACGCCGATCTCCTCCACAGACACAACGCCGATCTCCTCCACAGACACAACGCTGATCTCCTCCACAGACACAACGCCGATCTCCTCCACAGACACATCAACGCCGATCTCCTCCATAGACACAACGCTGATCTCCTCCACAGATACAACGCCGATCTCCTCAAAAGACACAACGCTGATCTCCTCCACAGACACAACGCTGATCTCCTCCACAGACACAACGCTGATCTCCTCCACAGACACAACGCCGATCTCCTCCACAGACACAACACCGATCTCCTCCACAGACACAACGCTGATCTCCTCCACAGACACAACGCCGATCTCATCCGTCGACACAACAACGCTGTTCTCGTCCGCAGACACATCAACGCTGACCTCATCCGTCGACACAACAACGCCGATCTCCTCCACAGACACAACGCCGATCTCATCCGCCGATCTCATGTCGTCTGAGGCGCCGCAATTCGCTGTGCAGCGCTGTGTCCAGTGCCAGAAACGCAAATTGGGTACATCTCATTAAAGGGACATTACTCCTCATAGATGATTCTATAACGGTGTTATTTGTTCACCCAAACGAATAAACCGGAAACGGCACCAGCGGTATTAATAGTATGTTACACTATGAAGTTCTTGGAGCACTGATGGCTTGTAAACTTGGCACGCGCGAAGTTCTGGGTAGGGGATAGATCTTCAGCAACCAACGTTTGTCATCTCAGTTTAATTTTTTACATTATTTTTATGTTATTTTTCAGGCAGTGCCAATGGGCCAATTCCCAGCATGAAGATTGGACTTTTCGGGCTATAAAATCTATAGTTTGGGGCTCTTGAAATTGATAAGGAAATAAGATAAAAACAATCATCATTTCATTTAATAGAAGAATTTTAACTGATTTACTGTAATACAACACAGATGTGTCGAACTCTGATGTGTCGATTTCTCTGATTGCCTATGGGGGCATGGGTGGCCCAGTCGTCTAAGGCGCCGCGATTCGCTGTGCAGAGTTGTGTCCCTTGGGCACGCCAGAAACCTATGATTGTGGGTTCGAATCCCGGTTCGCCCCGATTATGTTTCTAGGTTTGTCAGCACCATACCCGTTCTCGTGGGTTTCACCGAAGTGGTAAACGCCGTGATATAACTGGAATACTGTTAAAAGCGGCGTTAAACCCAACTCACTCACTCACTCTGATTGC